ACACTTAATTAACACTTTTTTGGAAGACAATACTAAATTAACCTTTCACCTTATTTAACATCAACCACAGAAGAGATTGAAAAAAAAAAAAGGGATATAATATGACATAATGGTCATAAAAGGGCGTAGAGAAAGAAAATAAAAACACAAGAAGAAAAAAAAATAAATAAATAAAATTAGAATAATAAAAATAGACACTTACGGGTATATTTTGCAAGGAGTTTCCCTTAGAACTGGAAAACTAGGGTAAGTATTTGGGGAAATTTGCTGATCTGCTCGGGGAATGTATGGGGGGTGTGGGGGTAAGTAGTAAACGTAAAACAAAACCTGAAAAATTACAGTATCTAAAATTTGAATGTATGGATGGATATAATAGAATTAAGAAATTATATCTATATTATATTAAGAAAGTATATTTATATTTTACTTCTTTCATTTTTGTTTTATTCACACTGTACTCCTATCTATAATTTCTTAATTTACTTCCCATCTATTTACTTGAGTTTAGGATCTTGTTATTTATCTTACTTTGTTTATACAACTTATTGTTCTTAATATTTTAATGTACTTACTGTTTATGTTTCTAACAAGTTTATTTACATTGTTTATAATTTTTTACCTAAATATGATGTAACTTCCACAATTCTCTATATCTTTTTGTATCTTGTCCGTTCTAGCCCTGAATAAGACCTGCAAAGTCGGGTCGAAACGTTGGCTTTTAATAAAATAGTTTTGTCACTATTTAGTATATTTGTGATCGCCACCCCGGATCTTCTTAATACATGGTTATCTTTATCCGGGTTCCCTACTTTCATGCTGAAGTAATGCTAATAGACAGTCTTTATAAGAGGAGTCAGATTGCGTTTCTGTGAGGATAATGTGATTTCAAAACAAATATAACATAAACTATTCACCATATTTACACATTTTCATTTTCACGAATTTTAGTATAAAAAAACACCCTCAAATCAGAAATTCTGCATTAATTACAGCAGAAACTATACGAAACTCACAGTCACAGCAACGGTAACTATGTTTACGATTTACGAACAGCTGAAGAGCATTCGTGAATTGTTATTTGACAGGTGTACCAACTCCCAAAAAAAGAATTCTCACAACTTGAAAATGTTGACTCACTGAAAAAAATGTAATCAACACTGAAAATAATTTTTATCACAGAACCAAGAAAAAAATTTCAAAACTTAAAAAAGTAACACACAACAATGGAATGGACAATGAACTAAGGCTTTCTTAAGGCTCACACAGAACGCAATTTTTCGGGAATACGATATCCTTTGTCGGTATCGTCGTATAAAGTATAAACTATATCGCCATATTGCAGCAGACAGGAACATCGTATCGCCGAAACATAACGCATTCTACACACAGGAGCCTTTTATGCTTCGATCAGACTCAGCAAAATTTTATATAAAAGTGTTAAAGATTTTGAATAATTTTAGTTTATTATTTTTAATAATCAACCATTGTGATCGTAAAAAAAAATCAAAACTTAACCCCCCTAAAAATTTTAGGTTTCACGTTTCAGGATGCGAATTCGAAAAACGAATACAATTTTTTTTTGTCCGTCCGCCGTCCGCGCATTTTCTCTGAAACTACTGGACCGATTTTTTTCAAATTTGGATATAAAATCAGAGGTCACCCGAGGATGATCCCCCTTCACCGACATTACTATCCGTCTTTTACTTTCAAAATGGCGGCCGAAAAACCTGCGTTGCTATAGACTGTAGCTCCTAACCGTATGTACCGATTTCAATGAAACTCCGCTAAAGTCATTTTCTTGACGCTCTTTAAATTTATCCATATAACATATTTCAATGAAAAGAAACTGGAAAAAAAGTTACAAGAGATGGTAAAAGTTTACGGAATTTTCTAAAAAATAAAAAAAAAATTGTTAAAATCAGACAATTAGGAGCAAAGATATGGTCTCCAGTTTTTTTTTTTATATGTTCTACTCCAAATGTTATATTCTTTGTTTGGTTTTTAAATTTTGAATGTGTTACTGAAGTAATGCTATTTTTTTTTGGCATATTACTAATGATTAAAAAAAAAAGTTTAGTCCAATAATTGGAATCACCTTTTATTTATTTTTCTTTGTAACTAGAAAAGTAATGTTACTTTAGATGTATATTTGTATGGTAATAATAAGGCATTGTGAAATAATTTGCAGTGTTTTTTAATTATAATAGGTTAAGGCAACTGAGATCATCGAAACAGGTTCCACTTCCCCCATGTTTGTTGTTTTAGTTACGTCCTTCCAAACACAACGATATTTATTATCTAGCAAAAGTTCACCGATCAAAAATGCTTCGTTTACAACATTTGTAATAGAGACATTATAGGACATATTGTAATTACTTAAATATTGCATCATACATCGTCATTGCATTTGTATTGGAATGATAACTGGAGCTGCGAAGTGGTTTTATTGGACTCCTAGGATCGAGAATAGTTTTCAGCAATATTACTTGTAGAGAAGAGAGGAGAGAGAACTACAATAATAGTACTGCACGTCTCAGGGGTGCACATCACCCCCAAGGTCGATGGCGCAAGAATCTACCCCCACCCCTCTCTTCCTAAGATATTTTATTGCTGATCTTTTCTTATAAACAGAGCAAGTATTAGAAAAATTGGAGATCATATACAATTACACTTACTGCTATCTCTTCCATGTTTCCCCTTGTCGAAAATTCATAACCCCATCGAAATTTGACCCTCTCAAAAATTCAAAAATCCCTCAAAATATGTCCCTCTCAAAAAATTTGATGGGAACCCCTGGCAACTATGTTGAGTTGCTAAACCGCAGAGATTACTCAACCGACTCCGTGAGAGTTAGGTCGGACCATTGGAATACATGACAAATATGCCAAGAATGGTTCCAAGAATCAAACAGGTGATGGCCAAGATGAATATATGTGGTGATGGAGGATTCCTAACATACTAGTTTCTATCATGGTCCACATCTGCTCCCTTCCTTCAACGAGCCTCTGCAAGAAATTACTTGTATTAAAAGGGATACTTCACTTGCTTCCGAACCATAGGCCTAAAACTAAGTATTCTCTCTCACCGAATTCCTCTCTATGCTTTTCCTTCAGGTTAGGTATGCATTTCAGATAAATTTCCTCTTTCTCTACCTGTACCTTGAAGTCCTGAACCTGGTCGTTGGTCTCAAATTAAATGCATCTCAAAATATAGTACATCATACATATTACTTATTTAGTGCTACTTATAAATAATATACGTACTATTTAAATATAAATACGTGGTACTAGTTCACAATCATTTCGGTCACAATTGTTCCTGGAATCCCGAATGCGTTATAATTATAATTTAACATTATTATAATTTAACTCATTATAATTTAATGAGTAAATTTTGAGATTGGTACTAGTTCACAAGAACGCGTGGATCACAATCACTTCGATCACACTTGTTCATGGAATCCCGAAAACAGCCGAATGTTGTCGTCAGCTATTGCCCCACTACACAACTCCTTTTCACGCATTTCTGAAAAAAAAAAAAATAACGTATTCCCTTCATGGAACTTCATTATTAACGAATTGTGTATTTACTAATTAGTTAATTATTAATTTTTATTATAACGGTTATCACTGTGAAAGAAAAAAAAATACATAAAATAATGTTTGAGTCGTTTCTTCAAGGCCTCTTAAAAAAAAATGCTTTTAGAAATAACATTTTTATTGACACTTATTTACATGTAGTGGCTGTAAATACGCATATAATGTATATTATCTTTTAGAACTGTGTATAAAATATTTTTTTATCATTTGGATAATAAATGATTTGAAGTAATCTATTATCTTTTTATTTGTTATTCGAGTTTTCAATAGAAGTTGGAATAATTGCATTTATAATTTATTTTAGAAAGCCTTTTTTAGTTTATGTCATCTATCTAGTTTATGTAATTTTTTGGATTTCTAATAATACGAGCGTCCACTATTTTCTAGTGGTGGGGGAACGCTTTGTATCCATATACTGTCTGATTTGAGGTTAAGCATCAAGTTTATTTAACTTTTTTGAATTATTAGATATACGGTCCACTATTTTCTAGTCTTCGGAGCTTTTTAGGAATATACTGTCGGATTTAAAATTTTTCGTCGATTTTTGGATTTCTTAGACATAAGAGTCCACTTTTAAGTTGTCAAGGACGCTTTTTATGAAAATAATGTCAGATTAAAGATTTATGAATATACTGATAATTCCAAGATAATCAATAATGAAAATCATCAATGAGAAAAATAATATCGTGAAATAAATAGCATTCAGAGATGTAATAATTTTTTTTTTTATATATTTGTTTATTTAGAAATATTACATTCTGTCACATCAAGGACATTTATAATAGTGTTCAGAGAGCACACTCACACTCTATTTACAATAATAAAAATAAATAATACAGAAACTTAATAATAATAAATACAATAAAATAAAATAAATGTATATAAACAAAAGAACTAACCTAATCATACACACTCGGGCTTGAGTGGAGGATCTGGCCATTGCCAAAACTCCAATAGATGCTTATTTACAGAAGGTCTCTGGGCCACTGCCGCTTCAACCTTCGAGGAGGATTGTAAGGATGGGTGGTGCTGGATAGAGATTGTGCAAGGGGATTTGGATGATAGGTAAGGTTCTGGTAAAATTTGGAGAATAGATGTAATAATTAAATATTTTCATCTATTACTATTTCTTTTTTACAGAGCTATAATATATGTACAAGTTCAATTTGTTTACCTCATAACTATTTCGAAAGAAGTCCTAAAATCAAAAATCGTGCCCCTTCCATTTTCTTCTAAAATCATTCATTGACTGGACTATAACAAGAACAGTTAGTATAAGATTAAAGAAAATTGAAAGTTTTTTCAAACGCGTGTTGTTTCCAAGGAAGCAAATTAAAATCGATTAAATCAATGGCATTAACTAAAGTCGGGGATTAAACTTTTCAAGTGTTTTTGATTGATGTTTGTTTAATTTTTGATAGATTATTGACATATGTTTGTTAGAGTAATTGCACTACCTAAGAATTTACTTATTGTGTTAGGTTATTAATTGTTCTTTTTTCTTCTTCTTTATTTGGGAGTTACACCTGAAGAAACTATGGAAGCTCTGTTAACTTCTTGGCGTTGGGTAAGTTTTTACATTTTTCTCTTATAGAAACCATTGGCGAAGTAAATACAGTGTGCAAAATAACCTAGTTCTAGTCGTTACTTGGGATGATTAAATCAGTTATCTTCAGTGACCAAAGATGAATGATTCACTTTCTGAAAAAGCCCCGACTTAATAAAAACAATTTGACCTGGATGAGGGGGGAAACTAGGGATGTCATGTTTCACTCAACTCTTTTACTCTAAACTATCATACATTAATTAGGGAAGTTATTTAAAACGAATTGTAAGAATCGTCCATGCATCTTAACGGAAGAAACTACAAACTAACCCGCTAATAATACGTTTCCACACTTCTGCCTTGTAAAGAACTTTGGTGTCCCTTAAGCATTAATTATTAAATCAAAATTTTATTATACTAATCTGAATTTTATTGTATTTTAACAAGTTTGTTTGCACATGTTAAACGGCATGAAATTAAATCGTAGCGAGCCCTGATTAATTTATAGCACTAACATCATTGCAATGTTAGGTTGTCCTAGATGCTAAAACACATACTCATGCTCCTTTACAAAATTAGTAATAATGAATTATTTTCATTTATCTTTATCTTTCATCACTGTACTGATTCTCATATTTATGTGAGCAAAAGTCTTGCCTTATAATTATTTCGGCTCTGTTCTATTTTAAGTACACCAGTAAATTTTTTAAGTGTTTTTGCATTTGGATTAAAATATCCCAGAAACTAAAAATTATACCTGCATAGTGTAAGTAAGTGAAATGTTTAAAATTGTATCTTCTTTCTAATGAGCTATTACTCAAAATTGTATCTTAACGTGACGACGTGTTAGCGAGGCAAATAAGATATGGACTCAAATATATCAGAAACTATAAATCGGACCTACATCCTGTAAGCGAGGGAAGTTTTCAGCATTTCATCCTCGTATCTTACCGCGACGCTGTGTTAGAGAAGCGAAAAGAGAAAAAGGTAGTGTCAAGTGTGTTTAAAGTAAAAAAGAGCTATTAATTCATTCGGATTAAACAATCTGCTTACGACTTATAGGTATATATTTCGTTTTAATTAAAAATGTTTTATGTATATTTGTTGACGCCAACATGAATAATTTCATTGTTTATTTTCACCATATCATAATAAGGAGAGTAAATTTTATTTTATATAACTGTTACTAAATATTATATACAGTCCCTAAATATTTCGTACACAAAGACGTCCCAGCGACAATGTTTTCGGCCAGTTCCGGGTAAGCCCGCCTCTTGTCGTATCACTTAATACCACGGGCGGATCTACGGGGGGGGGGGAGGAGGGCTTTCGGGCTCAAGCTCCCCCAAAATAGTAAAATATAACCATGTTTTATCGAGATACCATGTTTAAGTATCTCTTAAAGTATTATTGTTCGTGTAATTACATTTAAAAGGGCTTTAGGAATCACTTAAACACCATTTCATACAGGTAGTTAGTTTCTTTCTTTTTTTCCACAGTAATTATCGTTATTTTTGTGAAAAAAAAAACGTTCGGTCTGAAGCCCCCCAAAATCAAATCCTGGATCCGCTAGTGCTTAATACCAGAGGTAAAAAGAAAACATTGGGAAATCAGTATGGCTGCTGGGAGCAATGAGTATAGAACTGACCCTATGATGTTCTCCGTCCCGTCACAATGTACCTGGCAAACCCGATGGTTTCATCTCACCAGGTTGTGACGGCGACTTCCCGCCTCTGAGACATTATCCTGCAGGCGAACTCTCGTCAGCTGCAACACGTAATATGAGCCGGCTGGAGGTGAATTTTTGTATTTTAATTTAGAAGAGCTTTAAGGTGAGGGGCGCCCCTCTAAATCATTAATGACCCCACGGGTCTCAGATGTTATCATCAGGAAATAAAACCATTATTTTATCAATTAAACATATCACAATGAGGTTGAACTTTGTCTTATATACTACTTCTTCCAACACCCCTTCAGAGCACTCAATAGTGTAATGGCATCTTACTTTACATTAGTATTCAATACTTTACTTTACATTGGTATTCAATTGTCAGATTCAATACCGGGTTCTCATCATTCTCTTTTTTTTTTTTGTATATTAAATATTATAATTTTAGGTTTATATAAATATAAATTCCATAATTGAATGCCTTGTGTAATATAATTTTAAAACAATTAAATTAACATCTGGGTTGCTTGCATTTTCATTAAATAATAATAATTAATTATTTTAATAATAAAACAGCCCTAGAACATTGTAAATTTAATTCATCAGCTTGATGTTGTTTTCCTTTTGTTTAATATTTATAGTAATATTTTTTTCAAATTTGCTTCCAGGCAAAATCAGTCGGATATAAGATGTCAAAAATAGGATGACTAAATAAGATTGAAGAAATTAGTTTTAGGGCATAACTAGGCACAAAATTCAAGTTTGAGGTTTTGGCATTGCTTTGCAAAATACCTAACTCAATCATAGCATTAGGAATAATAATCGGAAAGATATGTATTATTGCCAGATGCGACTGAAGAAGTGGTTTTTGGAACGAGGACAGTTTTTGGACAGATCTGGAAATGCTCACGGTTGGCTGGAGCAATATCTTTCGCTTCAGTAAACAGAGATAAAAATAAACCTCTATGTCCTTCTAAATTTTCCGTTGTTAACATTTACAGATGACAAAGATATGTTTCATTCTCTCCCAGGTCATTTGGAGTATACTTACCTTTCAATTGTTTGTTGCAATTTTGTGTTTTATAAAATTGATTCTTTTTCTGGAAAGGTTTTCTCTTAATGTTTTAAGCATCAATAATGTTAGAAAGTACTAACTTTTAGAGATTGTGATGATTGATACTTAGATGGTCTGAAATCAATTTAATCAAATTACGTCATATTTTCCTGAAGATTTTTTTTTACAATACTATGCTTTGAAATGTAGTTGTTAACAAAAAAATACTTGATTATATATTTACTTAAACAAATTGGTGTATTGTTAGGGACGTTGACGTTCTTGAATATTTACGTTTGGTGTATTAGTCGAGTGCCTTCCATTCCCAAACTAATCTCAAGACTCTCTAGGATGTTGACTTGCACAAGTAGATAGGACTAAATCTAATAATCAAGAAGCGAGATGGTACCCGACCTCTACACCGATTTAAAAAAATTTTAGGTATCAATTTCCTTAACAATCGATCAAGATTAGAATAAGTGTTGTAAGAATCTGCTGACATCAAAGACAGCGTCAATGTGGAGAGCAGGTTACTTAAGGACAAAGGGCTGGGGAAGGTCTTGTCTTAAAGTAACTGGTAACGAGTAACGGCCTAAGTAACTGGTTCCTTTATGGTATGGCCAGTTAAAATCATTTTTACACCCGCCGAAATTAAGAACCAATCAGAATCATCCTTGGTCCACCCTGGATATTTGTATAAAATCTCGCAAGAAGTAAGAAAAGGAGGTATCATGTCTTTTTCCGGCCTTGTGGATTGAAGAGGCAGCAAGGCAGCTCAGTAAAATTATTATTTTTTTATTTAGATGGGCTCCCAGATACTTATAATCTTTGACGTGCTCCAGTTCTTCTGCCTTCAATCGAGGTACTCGGTCTCTCCTATCCTCTAACTATTCTCATTACATTTGTTTTGTTGATGTTTATTTCCATGTTAAGCAGTGTAGTTCTTCCTGCAGAACTTGGAGGTTGGATTGGAGGTTTCTTCTATTGTTCAATCATATATCCAATATTTCCCGCCGTACCATTTCCACCCTAAAACGTCAAAATTACTCCCGTCACCTATTTCCTTTTGAAACCCGTAGGCTCCTAGTCACTTCCTTAATTTTTCTCCACTTTAACTATTGCTGTACGGTATATGGGGGCCTCTCTGGGGATCTCGAGGTGAAACTAAAACATTTGATAAATTGCTTTGTACGATTCATCTTCGGGATACCAAGGGACGCCTCTGTTTCCCATTTTTATGCGGAGTTGAAGTGGCTTTACCCTTCCTACCTCTGTAAGTATTTCCTGGCATCCATCCTCTTTCAAGTCATCCAATTCCACTGTCCTTCATACATCTCCGAGCTCCTTCAATTCAAATCCTGTGTTCGTTCCCGCAATACTCGCTCCCAGTCTTCTAATTTATACTTAAGGGCACACCGAACCGCTGCTTTCGACAAATCGTTCATTATCCGATCCTCATCCCTATGGAATTCCATCCCTTCCCCCATCCGTCAATCCAATACCCTTTCTACCTTTAAATCCCGCCTGTTCAATCATTTCTTATCCATCCAGTCCCCATAAAATTGTAAATAGATACTACTGTAAATATATACATAAATTATTAGTTCGTTCTGTAGTATTTTTATTCCAATTTTTTTTATCATCAACTGATCAAAATTGGAAAGCAACTTATATGTATATATATATATATATATATATATATATATATTATATATATATATTATATATATATATATACATTTCTATCTTCATGTATTATTCTTAAGGGACTCGTCCCAGATAAAGTATTATTATTATTATAAGCTGAACCTACGGATTGCTATAATACTAATGTTGTTCTGACCGGCAGGTGCAGGAAGTTTGGAAGTTGATGACTCTGAAGAAGTACAACTTCTACCGCGAAGTAAATCCAATGACTCGTGTCTACTCCGAGTTGGAGATGGTTGTCTTCGTCTTCAGCATTACCGTTGGAAATACCTTCTTCTACTCTATACCCTTACATGTCCTCAAGCACGGAGACCTCCTTATGCTTTTCTGGCTTCTGTACACACCGATACTGTTCATAACGGGTAATCCATCATGTTTTTATAGGTATTAAAATCCATCGATGTTACAGCACAATTTTGTAATATCCTTCACTTAAATTATGCTATTTATGTTGTACGTTTTTGCAACCATTTCATTATAATTATAATAATAAGCATAAATTTGACGGGCTGTTTAATTAAGTTATTTTTTGAAAACAAAAGTTTTTCTAACCTTCCAATTGAAGAAGCGCGTGCCCCCACGCCTCTCCTCTGGATCCGCTTGCGATATGATGACTCAATCTTTGGATTTTAAGATAAATATAGGAAGATGTGGCGTAAAGAAGAAATATAACCTTTATGAAGTAATGTTTATATATTTTGTCGGTTCGTCGATTATTCATTAAATCCAATGATTGGACTATCATTTTGAAGATTATCTTCTCCTTCAAGTGAGAAAAACAAGCAAGCTCCACAGAAAAAAATTATGATGAAAAGGATACTTCATTTGCGCAGAGTTAAAAAACTATACATTTTCTACAAAACGAAAAATAAATCGTCTAAAGCAGACCATTTGGCAAATATACAGCCAATTGTATCTTGTACTCATGCTCTTATTTGTTTATTATTATTATTTATTCTTTATCACTTTAAATAATAGGTATTTTCTTGGAGTCGGGAAGAATTGACTTCAACCACTTCACGTTAATTTTTGTAGTTTTATTGGATATTTAGGAAGCTCCTTACAATTCTCGCAGTATTCAGCAGCACAGCTTTCTGGGCTTCATTTATCGTAGCTGTTCTTCTTGGTAGCGAATACAGTGTATTTTGGAATGAGCCCATTGCTAGAGATCACTAAAGCCCTTACTGTCACTTTGTTCAGTCTGTACAGATCTTTTAACTCGGCTGCAAGAGTTTGATATTATCGAATTTTTTCGGCGCAGATTAAGTTAGTGTTCCCATCATTTATTTGGTAAAGCGATTTATATTATCTCAGCTGTCTTCATATTACTGTCGATCAACACGATATCAGGTCTGTTACGGATCACAGTATGGTCTGTTATAAAAGATTGATTCCAATACAATTTCATTCCTTCCTTCTGGATAAGTTCTTTAGGGTTGTACTTATAATAAGGTATTGAATCATTCATAAACTTTCTTTTTAGACCAATTGTCTGATGATAAATTTTTGCAACATCATCATGTCTCTTGAGGTATTCTGTACCAGTCAGTGCTCGCACCCTCCAGTTATGTGTTGAATAGACTCGAACCTACTGGCACAGAGCCTACACTTGTCTGATACTGTCTGTTGCTTCAAGACTTGTCATAAATAATGTCTTATTTATTATTATTATTAAAGTTATTATTTGGAACGAACCGTTGTAATCCAACTACGATAAAAAATAATTGTTCCCTCTATTGATGGATTGCCATTTGTTCACAGAACAATATTATGTCGCAATTAATCGCTGGTCTTACTGATAATATAATTATTATCTCTAAGGTTTACTGAACTTTTTGTTAGTTATTCTGACTAAATTATTATGAAATACTGGATGAAATATTATTATGAAAGTGCCTTCATCCTTCTTCCTCCTCCCAATATCGGCGCTTAAGAAAACCAAAATTTCAAGAAAGTCATCTCAGTATCCATCTAAATTAAATGAAGTGAATCGGATAATTGCACTATGTTTTCAGTTGTCAAGTTAAGTCATCTTACCCAATGAAGCAGGACATTCAGCTAAGACCGGCTGTTCTTTTGCGAAAAGAAAAAATTCCCATTATTTAGGGAATCCCTAACTATCTACTTGACGGAACTTCTATTATATAGGTTAATATTCAAGGTTTGAGTAACAATTTGTATGTTTTTCTTAGTTAATAATAATAAAAAAGAATATTTATATCATTTAAACAGTTATCTGTATAAATAAAATAAAGGTTTTGTCTGTACATTCAATAGAATCAACCCGTTTCAAGATATATTTCAGTTTCGTACATTACAGACATCAAATCCACTTTTGAAATTTTTTTTGTCTGTCTGCATGTCCGCATTATCCAACGAAATTTTGCCATGGGTAAGCTCAGCAATGACTAATTGTACACTTTTTAAAATTTGACATATTTCTTTTGTCGTTCTTGCAAAATCTTACAGATATTTTGTCGCCTAAACCACCCTCCTCCATCGCTTCCTATATTGAACTATTTCTTTTCAGTTAAATGCGTGCAGCTGTATTGCATCTTTGTTGATTCGATCTATTGGGCTGGAAAATAAGCCCTTTCGATTTTTCTGTTTATTTTTATGGTACCAAGATACACTTGTTATCTGATGAAATAATCTCTTAGGTGGTTTATCCTCTTTGTAATATGTAAACAATCATATTTACTAAGATGGCATTATGCAGTTAGTCGAAAGATGGAGAAAACTCATATTAAATAATTGTGAAAATATTACAGATTAAAATAAATTTTATGTCTAAAATACATTGAGTTTTATTTAACCCTGAAAAACCGAAAGGACTTATTTGCCAACCCTATATTTATCTGTTTTTTTGGTCTTCCACGTGTTATCTTGTTTATAATTGAGGCGTTCATTGTCCGACGCTTCCTGATGGATTGCTCAGAATCACATGATCCACCCATCTTAACCTCATTGCCTTCAAATAAAGAGATATTAATTGATCAATTTCTGTAAGCAATTATTTCTCTTCCATACCTTAGCAGTCTTGTCCAGTCTCCGATTATCGTGCGAAGGATTTTTCTTTCAAAAGTTTTAATCACACACACGTACGCCCTAGAACCATTGACTTTTTTTTGTTTTTGTTTTTACAGGCTTTTGCAGGGTGGCTTTTTTTAATATAATATTGTATTCTACATGGAATTCTGCGGGCACTCCTAGGACTAGGTTGGAGGTCTTTTTTTGCGCTATAACCAACCGTTTTCAAGATGATTGGCATTTTATTCGAAAGAGAGATTTTTTGCTATGTAGAATAATGGCTGTAAAATAAGTTAGTTTAAAACATATAATCCTACTTTTTATAAGATCTGGATTGATGGAAACGTAAAATGTTTCAATTTTTTAAAAGTAAATCTTTCGTTTAAGGAAATATTTACAAGTATTATTTTTGTCATTATAGATAATTTTAATTATAAATTGAAGAGATATATAATAATATTGTGCTGTTGACAGCCGGCTGCTTCGCGGAGATGGCCGCTCTGATGCCGGCAGTGGGAGCACACTACCACTACTGCTACAGCACCATCTGCGAGTTCGTCGCCTTCCTAGTCGGATGGCACCTCATCTTTGCCTACACTGCAAGTCAGTCTTCTATATTACCTATTAATTTCTCTTTTCACGATAAAGGCCAATTATAGAATAGACGACAACTAAGCAGAGTTTAGAAGAGGAAGGAGCACGTTAGATCAATGATTGATACTAAAAAAAGTACTTGATAGGAATTAGCTTCTGGTGCAGTTCTTATTCGTCGATTTCAGAGCTACGAGTAATTCTGTGGACAGATACTGTCTTTGGAAGATCATGAGTGTACCATTTGTTTTCGGGAAGTTGGTTAAATTGACGAAGGCGTTTACAAATAGTAACGCCTGAACGTTGAGTCCTAATATATTACGAAGAGAAGCATATGCAGCCCTCAATGTTAAAAAAACACAAACTAATATGCATATAAGTATATTCATACATAGCTTTGTCCTATTACTGCCCTATGGCATTTTAAAGAAGGGGATAGAAACTGATTTGAAAATTGTGGCAAGAGGCCTTGTCACATTCATTGAATGGTGAAGGACCGCTCTGCTAGTTTATTATATTTACATATATACAACTATTTACAATGTTTGTAATTGGGTATGGACTGCAGGGTTCAGACCCCTTCCTTCAGCGAACACATCCAGGGAGTTTGTCTTTCTACCTCCCAAGCCTAGGTGGTGGGGCGATATCCTGCAATAATGGGTTCGCACAGGCCTTCAGCCCATCAAAACATTTGATGTGCCTCTGGCCTACTATGAACTCAGACACCGTGAGCAGCTTCTGGAAGCCCTGCAGACTTTGGTGTGTAGTTTTGTGAAGGTATCGGAGAAGGGATGCGCCATGGAACAGTGCAGGCCGGAAAATGGCCTTGTAAATTATAAACCTCCATAGGTAGCTAGTGGAAGACCGACAGAGCTGAAGATGTGGGCGAAGCGGTATGTCATGTTGCTCCTTTTCGACATATCCTCCGCCTTCGACAGCGTATGGTGGCCTAGCGTACTCCAGCAGCTGCAGAGGTACGGTGCTCCCAGTAACTTATACACGCTAGTAAGAAGTTATCTCCGGGACAGAAGTGTGAAGATTATAGGCAATTACTACGAGGTAGAAGCTTCGATAGAGAGAGGTTGCCCTCAGGGATCGGTGCTTGGTCCTGCTCTATGGAAGCTCGTCTTTGATGAGTTACTGGGAGTGTTAGAGGAGGAGCTGTTTCCTGCCACTGCTTACGTTGACGACCTAGCTGCTGTGGTGGCCTCCAACAGCAGAGCTGGAGTCAAGAGAGAAACAGAGCGATGCGCCGACTTAGTCGCTAGATGGTGTGAGGGGAAGAATATGAGGATGGCTGCTGCCAAGACTCAAGCCATCCTCCTTAAGAGAAAGACTGATAGGGCACACCCTATAACGATGTACATAAAAGGCCAGAGGATACGTCCAAGTGAGGTGGTAACCTACCTAGGGGTTAGGTTAGGTGTAGGCCTCAATATGACGCCTCATTTGGAATATCTGGCAGGTAGGGTGGCCCTAGCAATGAACGGTCTAAGTCGTGTGGGGAGCGCATTTTGGGGCCTGAGGTATCCAGCCACTATCACTATTTATAAGGGTGTTATGGAGGGTATCCTGAGGTATGCGTCTCCCTTCTGGTTCCGAAACCTCACACTCAGACAAAGAAATAGGCTAGCATCGACTCAGAGGACTGCTCTGCTTCGGGTCACCAGAGCATATAGGTCTACGTCGCATGAAGCAGTGCAGGTCATAGCGGGGGTGGTGCCTCTCGACCTCTTCCTGCGAGAAGAAGTGACCAGGTACGATTACAAGAGGGAGGGCTCAACAGGTCTGTCGGAGAACCTACGGGTGAGGATTATTGAAAACCCAAATAAATGGAAAAAGATTATCCAGGAGGAAACAATTGAAGATTGGAGCAGACGATGGGTAACGACTCCGAAAGGCAGTACCTTAGGAAAATGCTTCCCCACCGTTGAATCCCGGTGACAGGCGAAATGGTTCCTCCCGGACTATTGGGTTTCACAGTTTCTCCATGGGGGTTTCAGAGCTAAACTTCATGGCTTCGGACAGGATATAGATCCCCACTGCCCTGCTTGTGGTGTTCCGGAGACTGTTGAGCATGTGGTCACGGCCTGCACTGCTTTCGACGAATTAAGAGCTAGGTTAATGAGAACCACGGGAATTTACGTCCTCACTGAGGAGGAGTTTCCTCAGTTGGTGAGTGAAGAAAACTTCCCGCGGTTCAAAGAGTTTATAAATGGCTGGAAGACGGCGGTGGACCCAGCTCACTTCAACCTAGGTGCCCGCAGAAGGAGAAGAGGACCAGTCCTAGGAAGACCTCCGGATTCGGGAAGCCAGGACTAATTTGCTGAAGAATGAGGAAAAGTAGAAGAGCTAGCTGTGTGCACAGCTTAGAATTTTGTAAACCGATATTATGGCAGTAGTGTGTTATTATGCATTAATGCTTAACATCACACTACTGCATACACCCGTGTTGCCCTGGTGGCATGGGAAGGTGGAAGACAAATAAAAAAGAGCTGAAGATGCTTCGTAAATTTCCTCCTCACTCTGCATAGGCGGTTGAGAGGAACGAATGTGATGATAGAGTTTTTGAAAATTAACATTAATGTCACAGATTTATTTTTATAAGATTTATAGAAAAAGAAAGGCAGACTAAGAGGCAAACACAAATCAATCTAAAATATAGTCATTTTTTCAAAAGTTGAAACAAAACTATTTGAACATTAATAGGAATACATACTTTCGTCATAAGTTTCTTAAAGAGAAATAATCTTTACAAAAATCAAACACAAGTTTTTTTAACCAGTAAATTATGTTCAATTTGTATTTTTATGTTTTTTTAAAACTACATGGAATTCAAATGCTTGGTAGATCATCGAACACATTGATGTATCGTATATTCAGGATTTATTTGTATTCCCGAGATGATTTTTTAGTGTTGTATGTTTTTAATATTGAAAAAGAAAAAACTGTTTCAACCTTATTAAGTTGTTGGCTAATAATATTGTTTGTTTATTTGTACATATTTTTTATTGTTATGGGATCTAGTCTCAGAATAAAGTTTGTTTTATACTTCCAATTCTATTCTATGCATCACAAAAATTAGGGACTTTTTGGGTTTTTATTCTTTTTATAATAAACTAATCTTCACTGATAAATAATAATTAAAAATGAATGCAAGTATCTAATCATCATTATCATATATATTATAATGATATAATTATTATAATATTTAATATTATATTTTAGGTGTAATATCATTACTACATGTTTCTTTGTTTGCAGTCACGATGAGTAGATGCAAATTTCTAAGCGAGTTTATTGATAATAATTTACTGGACGGATGGGTCTCCAGGAACCTCAAGTTTAGAGAAAGGTTTGGCGTATTGTTTTTTTGTATTCCTGGTTACGTCGATATCTTAAGTCCAATGCTTGCAATCTCCATGGCCTGTAAGTTTAACAAACGAACTTTAGTTACGGTATATCATATAATATACAATTAAATTAAAAAAAAAAATCATACTGTATTGGAAGAAATTTCAATATTTCAAATATTTTAACCATTCCTCTAAATTTTAGGTATCATTTTATAACTCTCAGTTTCATTCTATTTGTGCTAAATGTGTCATTTTGTAATCTGCTAATATGAAAAAAAAACAGCAATAAGAAATGAAATTATACTAAGAAATCATAAAGAAATAATTAGTTTTTGCTCTCCCTTGTAAAAGACTAAATTTTTACATACAACCTTTTGCACTAACAATAGCTTCATGCATGTTCAGTATGTACTGAGATTTTTTTTTTAATCCGAATCATCAAATACAAAATCTACAAATATGAATCTTCCCCATTTTAGTATTCGCTGATAAACAAAACTCGTGGATATCAAACCCAGGAATATTGAGGGATTACTGCATTTCCGAAAACTCCCTGAGATTTTATTCTCATATGAAAATTATAGATCTTGAAATATAGATATTCTTTAACCAATAAAAACGATGAAGAATCTATACTGACTTTACCTGAAAGGATTATTATTAAAAATATTTTTGTAGAAGAAAAATAGCACAAGCAACCAGGATTACGTACAATACTTATTTATACTGGCTAAAATAAAATAATAATACTACAATGAAAAAAGGACCCCACTAAGGATTATAAATAAGAGTTTCGTTTATTATGTTTAGGGAATCTCAAAAATACCATTTATCAACCCCAATGGTTTTGGTAAGCCAATAATAAGCCTATTATTATAGGTAGTTTACAATTAAACTGTTATTAAATAATGTACAGTATACAGGGTGTCCCGTAAATAGAATTAAATACTTAAACTAAATTAAATGCTTGCCTTCAATGTATTGTTTAATGTTCATGTTTGTGTTGATTATTTTATGGCAAATGAATATATAAATGTTTGTTTGTTCAAACTCTTAAATCTCGCAAAGTTCTTCACACATTGCCTTGAAATGTTGGCTTGACATTGCATTTAAATATGTGCGTAGTTTAATATACCTAATATTATAAAATATAAGGTGAAACAATACATATTTATATAAAACGCACCATCAGTTGGATGTAAAAGCAACACATGCAGTCCAAAATATTTAACAATACTGTTTCAATGTTCAAGATTTTCAAATATCAAACGCAGCAATGCATTGAAATTGCACTATACCTTTTATCATAGCGTTCATTTCGTGTGCATTAGAGGTGCCTCAGACTTCCCTCAAAAGATTTCGCATACCCCTCCTAAGATATTTGATTGCTGACTTCTTAATTACAAATTGATTAAATATAGAGTTATAAAAATTATATTGGAAAAATAAACCTTACTCTTTTTTTTTAACAAAAAACATTTACATTTTTTTTTCACATATAAAATTATCATAAGACAGAAATACTATGCCAGAAATCTTGATAATAATACCAGTAACACCAGAACGTAATACCAAAAAACAAGTGGAGAATAACAGCTGCCAATCGATGCTATTTTGGCCTATTTAAGCACATGAGAAGCTCAGTACTTAGTAGGCGAACAAAGCTGCAGCTCTATAAAACGCTCATCCGGCCAGTTCTTATCTACGGTAGCCAAACATGGACCTCAGCCAAAAATGACATAAAAGACCTTCTGGTCTTTGAAAGGAAAATCCTTAGAAGAATATTTGGCCCTATAAAGGAGGGACTGAATTGGAGAATTCGGAAAAATAGAGAGGTCTACGAATTGTTCAATGAACCTAATGTGGCCAGAATAATAAAGCTAGGAAGGCTTAGTTGGATGGAGAGGTCTGAAATCCGGACAGGAGTGCTTGAGGAGCCATTACACCATAGGAGAATAGCTGGTAGACCGAAATTGAGATGGGCAGATGGTGTGGCAGGTGACGCGAGAGACTTGGATGGGAGTCAGAATCTGGAAAGTGGCCGCAGAGAATAGAGAAATTTTGTGGAAGCTCATTGAGGAGGCCAGGGCCCACTGAGGGTTGTAGAGCTATTAAGATAGATAGATATAGCTAGATAGATCATGGTAGATATAGCTTCTATATCCTTAATATGTGAAAGAACTATTAACCAAGGCTCTTCTCTGCAAAAAGAATGAGTATTGAGTGAGTTTAATAATAGATAAGCATAAGTTGAGGAATAGCTATGTCTTGTTGTTTAATTAACAAACTGGTGTCATATTTTGCAGTGGGGCTAGATAATCATGTATTAAATAAATTGTTATTTTAACCGCCATTGTAAGCTATGAAGCTTCACCAATTGTGTGTGTTCAATAGACTCAGATTCAATATTGATATTATTATATTGTATGTATATACAACATAATAATTAACATGTTCCATTGATATCACTTAGGAGGAAATAGTGTTGCCCAAAACCGGACTTGGTTTTGCACTTTGCAAGACCAAGACTGCCTAATTGCTGCAAGATCAATAATACCAGGACTGGTAAAAAAAAAAGAAGGTTTTTGTGAATAAAAATTAAGACAAAATAGTTACTAATATAATTTTAGTTACTAAATATAAATAATTGGTAAAGTCAATATACTCTTGCAATTAACTCCAATTTTTCATTCGGAGTTTAGTTAGGTTTCCGCATTTTGAAAAAATACAGTAATATCTCTATAATATGTAATGGTACCATTTTTTAAAAGATTATTAAATTTCTGACAGAACTATAAACAAAATTGTCTAAATTGAACCAGTTTTAGCAATGTTACAATGTATTGAATTTTATACACTGATTTTAATAAATGTTCACTTGCCCGTTTATATTTCTTTAGTTCATCAGAGAAATTGTACTCTTAAAGATTCATCTGATCAGTTATTATGAAAATTAGTCTAATTCAATAGTGCTTTTCTTTTATGATAAATATATTGAAAATTGAAAAAAATTGTTTAAAATCGGTAGAAAAGTCATGTGAGGGGACACGGCAGATTTTTATTTAAATAATTGATGACATTGTATAGATTTCCTTTACTCTACAACTCTTCTATTCTAAGATGGGGATCCATTACTAACTTTCTTGTGAATTCCTTTAATGTATTGTCAAGTTAATTTTATTAATTTGGTTGGACTTTACTACGTGTATGTCAATAAAAAATCTAAATGTGTACCTATTCTGTAGCGTTTTTCTATTATCTAAAGTAACATGTTTAGTAAATAGCAATTATTTAATAGGTAACTGCAAGACTCTTGTGGATGACCAAGATCAAAACTGAGTGCTCAAGACCAAGATTCGTCTTAGTCTTGCATTTGGGCATCACTAGTCGGAAATAAGTAATCTATCTAATACGAGAGTTCACCCTAGGCTATACTAGGAACAAAATATTTTTCTTATATTTGAATAGACAATTAATAAATGTTCTGCTTTACTTTCATGAAAGAAATTTACAAGTAACAGATGAATCTAAAATCATAACGGTTTCCAGTCCAGGCAGCCTGGGCGGTGAATTTCTCAAAGGGCATCGTTAACTTCTTCACTACTACCAATGTCATCATCATTGCCATAATCATCATTGCCTTCACAGCCAAGATGGACTTCACCTATGCCAGCATTTCAAAAACAGAAGAAAGTGAAAAACTGTACGACGCATTGTTTGTAGTCCAAAAGGCCTTGGTGGGCTATGAATCTCTCAGTGTATTAGGTTTGTATTGTAAGGTATGGGGTAAAGAATCACATAAATGTCTTAAAATAAAAAAAAATATAGTGTGCATCACACAACTTTCCTGTAAATTCCTATTTAGAGGATAGTGATGATGGTGAAGCACGTTTGGACAATAGTTTCAGAGCGTTCAGAACTTTTGTAAGTTCAATTCGTATCATTATGTAAACTTTTGTCTAATTTTAAACAGATAATTTAATTTTTTTTTTAAGCGTCATGTTTTCTCTTGAATAGGAAATGATAACTCTAAAAATATTTAATTTAGGAAAATAATAATTTCATCATTGTAAACTAGACAAAATTGTATCCAAATTCAAGTAGAGTTTATGTTTATTAAAACCATATAATAAACCTCTCAGTTTCTATCTGTGACGCCAGGGTCCTAGTGATTATTCTGTGACAAATTTATATTGATTAGTGCTTAATATCTTAATTTAATTCATAAAAAGATTTATGGAAACTAATATGGAGAATGAAAAGGAAAAAAAATATATTAAAGAATGAAAATACACACAATGAATAAAATAACAAAAGTAAAGGGAAAAAAACAATTAATCTTCATTTATTAATATCAAAATTATATTACATGTTTATTTATGAAGAAGAAACAGGGTTAGAAATCAAAGAGTTTGTATGGTTCTGAAATTTGTTATGGAAGGATAGGTATTTGGATTGGGCCAAATCAGAAACATATGGAACAGTAAGGTCGTTATGGATTATTTTATTTGTTACAAACTAAGGAGCATTCAGGATACAACGAAGGATTTTGGATTGTAAAGATTGGATACAAGAGGAATTCGATGGTTCAGTGGAGCCCCAAAGCTCAACTCCATAAGTCCAAATGAACATATTATAGTCATATATTATATATGAGTCTTCTGTAATTTAGAGGAAGCTTAAATGTAGTAAATGCAAGAGTAGTTGGGAACATGGAGCGGTTTCCTTGTTGTTTTATCTTGTATGAGGATTCCAAGTGAGATGCTTGTCCAGTTGGAGTCCTAGGTATCGGATTTGTACTACATTGATACGCGGAGTATTATTAAAGGATAATGTATGACCAGAAGTCATGGGTATGGCTAAAAATTAAAAAAATTTAAAAACATAACACAGAAATATAAAATATAACAGTATAAAAGAAAAAAAAAGAGAAACCTACAAATGAGACAACAGTTATATAAGTATAACAATAATAAAAAAATGAAATATGGTAAGAAAATGTTTTTATATTATAAATAAATGAAAAAGGTAATTTCAATAGCAAAAACCAATAAACAAAATAATTCATGTCGATAAAACAAAGAACAAAAACAATTCAGTAAATAAGAAGTATGCAAAAATAAAGTGTATGAAATTCTTTAATTTTTAACTCAAATTCTGACATTTTTTAAAATCTTTATCTAATAATTACTGTAACTGTCTAATAATCATTATAATTACCAACTTTAGCCCTACATAGTTAATTCTTATTTTTCTATCATTGTTACCAGAGGGCGGGATGGCCGAGCACATTGGGGCGTGGGTCCCAGAGTGCCCAGTTCTGAACATTGTGGGTTCGATTCCCACCTGGGTCGGTTAATTTTCATTTCTCGGCGACCCTAGGAAATGAATCGTGACATTCCCACTCTGGCAAGTACGCGGCGGCAACCTTAAAGGTAGCTGTCAGGAGTTGGCAAAAAGGACCACTATAGGCCCACTTGCCGGACTAGTTCCACCCACCCATTACCAGTACCAGTATCATGGTTACCAAAATTATTTCTCTAGGAAAAGATAAGCGTATAACATAAAAAAATGTTTTTAATATTAATTCAATTCAACCTATTTAATTTTCAATAAATTAGTTATATCAGTAGAAAGATCTGATCAAATTGATGATAATAAGACAAATTATAAAAGATAAATTAGACATGAAAATTTAATAATGAAAAAAGGGATTCAGAATTGTTAGTTCAAAATTTACAAGCCCAGTTTGTAGTAGACAGCCCCCAGTATTTACTCCTTTATGTGACATTGTGTGAGGGAATGAGAGGGAATATATAGGAAGGTGAAATTGCATGATGAATTGTTCTCAATCAGCAGTGGACAAATTATTCATTGAAAAGTCTCATATCAATAAACAATCGATGAAGAAGGACGCTGGAAAAAGGATGGAGCAGGTAGCAACAGCTGGAGGAGGACGCCGGAGATGAGAGGAGAAGGCACTTGAGGCTGAGACATTGAGGTGGAACGACGTTAGAAGTCTACTACAAGATTTATAAAATCAAATCTATGGTTATAACTCTTTAATAGAGTCAATTTATTATAGTTGTAGAAATAAATTATTTTATTATACAGGAGTGAAAAATCATTTATTTATTTAGTTGTCCTATATGCCTCACCATTGAAGAATAACAAACCAGGTGAGTCAATTCATTCAAGGTGTATTTATTAAGGCCCACGTTTCATATATATATATTCTTATTGTTTCTTGTCACTCAGTGTCACAAAAAGTATTAGGTTCCCGAATTCCCAACAACAGTTAAACACCCTCAAAAAGTCTATATCCAATGCCAGGGTTTTGTTGTAATATTCACGAGTGTAAATAAAAGCAGAAGGCTATTTGCAATTCCCGCCAAAACAAATTATTTACAATTAAACTTTATTAGGTTATTTACAAGTTTACCAAAAATAGACTCGGTCCTAGGAGCACAAGATGACAGACAGAGCATGTTAGAAAAAATGAGTTGAACATATTCTTAATTTAATTTTCTTTTACAAACATTATTGATATACATAATTTACATACATAGTAACATATAATATTCACAATAATCGGATTATTTTCTTGTACTGATAGTATGAAGAGGGGACAAAAACTCGGGTATAGGAGCATGCAAGCTTTAAATAAATTCAAGTTTGATCACTTCATGTATTGAATATTTTGTTTCCCTCCCAAAACTAAAACCTAAGAATGTGATAACTCAATAAAGGATGATTGGCCATGGACCTTTTTATCAGCTAAGGACAATGTACGTTTTGTAAACAAATTAATTTAAAAAATTTGAATTTTGCATTTAATATAATTTTTCACACTCATTTTAATCATTAGTTTCTAATTATACAAATATAAATTATAGGAATAGTGAAAAATTTAAAATTGATATTCCAATTTAATTTGATTTTAATATGAAAGAAAATTTCAGGGGAAGAAGCAAAGAACCCTACTACGACAATACCCTTGAGCATCATGAGCTCCGTGCGGATTTTAATGGGTCTTTATATCATATACACTGTCGTAGTCTCCATATGTGTAAAAAAAACCGATCCTTCTGTTATAGTAGGTTGGAATAATTTTGTTATCCTACTTAGCCAGGCATTTTATTAGGAATTAATTTGTTCAATTTATAATGTTTTAGGACCTGGAGAATCCACTTGGGAGCATAGTCATCTTGGTGGGAATGCCTTGGTTATATTGGATTGTGACCTTGGGGTCAATAAGCAGCCTCTGGTGTAGGTGAGCAAAGTTAATTATTTAATCACTCTCTTTACTCAATCAGGTGTCAAAGATTATAGAAGTTTAGGGATTACTAATTTAGCTTTCGATTCACATTATTGATACTTTTGATTCATTGAATAAATTTTAATATTCATTATAAGTAATGTGCTTACTATACAAGAAGATATATGGTTAGGATTTCAGACTAAATTGCTTTATCCTAGTCTTGATCCAAGCATTTGGGTCATCATCAGGGCTAAAAATTAAAAATTACATAACAAATGAGTCGCTTATTTCCAAAAAGAACTTAAGGAATCCGATTATAATTTTTTTTTTTCAAAAACGAAACTAAATATTAAAAAAATTGTGTGTAAATGAGTTTTTTCTGAACCTGCCTTTTTTTTTTCTCAAGGAATGTAATGAAACTTGTATTTTTCAAGTATTCTTAAAAAAAACAATTCAACAAAAGCTTTTTTAACATTTTATTCAAAAATAAAAAATAAATTTATTATATTAAACCATAATTTTAAACAAAGAGTTATTTTTTATAGGAAGATTTTTATAAATTTTCCTCCCTCCTTTCTCCCAATCATACAGAATTTTTTCTCTCCCGACCTTTTTTTGTTTGAAAATGGCTCTTGAAGTTTAATTCCTCTATGCTTATTTCTTCTATATATCTTTTATATATGCAGTGAAATTGGTACAACCTATAGAAAATTTAAAAAACCTGGTGCGCACAACACAAAACTTTCACTTACTGCTCTGCTTCAAAAAGAAATTCTTGTCTGACAAAATTGGGCTATCACAAGAAGTTTTTGAAGCACATCTTTAATGGAGCTAAACCTCGAACAATATATTTTTGATTTTAGAACATATTTATCAATACAAAAACTCCTTAAGACCATAAAAATAACATAAAACCTATTTATTATATCGGTTATAGGAAATAAAAACCTTATAACTGCATCTTTAATGGAGCTAAACCTCGAACAATATATTTTTGATTTTAGGACATATTTATCAATACAAAAACTCCTTAAGACCATAAAAATAACATAAAACCTATTTATTATATCGGTTATAGGAAATTAATGCCTTATAACTGCATATGTCTATTTGAATCACATAACTCCAATCTCTGAGCTTCATAGACAAAGAGAGATTTGAACGTACATATATTTTTTATGAATAAGTTAGGTAATACTGCACAATAAAAATTATAGGAATTAAAACTCTCTATCACTTTTTAAATGTATTTAAGTTCTTAATTTTTACCCTTGAATAATTTATCAAAAAAAAATTATTTTTTATTAATACAGCATTGATAAGTTGAAAGTTGTAACACTGATTGTAAGTGTATAATATTATTTCACAATTTTTTTTTTTTGTAATTGACGAGGTATACCTAATTGTTTAAATACAATATTGGATCTAGAGTTATTAAAATAAATGTATTTAAGGTCATAAACATATGTTTTACCCATCCATGAAATATCTTTAAATTTCACTTCTTCTTTCACAAAAGTACAATGAAATAGTTTTTTTTAACAATGTCATTACCTTGATTCGTGGATTTTATAGCCTTTTTTCAAACTTAAAAATAATTTTAAATATTTACATTTAGTTAAGAAATTTCATTTTATTTCCTTCGAAACATGTGGTAAATAATATTAGTTTTCAGAAATTAGTATTTATATTTTTTTGTCACTCTCTATTACATTCTACAACTTTTTTCTATATTAGATTTATTTTTTCTAAAATACTTTGCATTCCAAAGATATATTATAATTATTTTTATGTATTATATAATACTCTCTTATTATTATTTCTGAAGATTCATTTTCGACTTGGATAAGTGTTTTTCTTTTTTTCTCATATATTCAATAATCAATTCTTTTATGCTTTCTATACATTGACATATTGAACATTAGGCATTTAAGTCCTGTAAGGTGACATCAATGTGAATAAGAGCTTGCTGATCTTAAAAACACTTAATAATACATTGATATACTGAGTTTATCAAAATCGTTAGAGCATAAAAATGTGTAACATTGTTGATAAAGTACCACTACCAGTTAGCCTATTTCTAGGAAAAAGTTGCTGTAATATCTCATGCATATAACTATCTTGAATATGTAATAATATCAGATTCTTACGACTTTTCGTTTTTAAGCTGGACTGTTAACATACACACAGACTATTTTGTGGGGCTTGGTTATTTCGACTCAGGGGACCTCAAAATATGTATTTCCGTTGAAATCTGATATTCGAAAATTTTCACGATTGCAATACTTTCTCTTACTATATATTTCATACAATACTATAAAACTTAAATGGTTACAATAAACAAATGAAATCAGAAAATCTTCATTAGATCTATTTATAATCTCAATTTAAATATGTATAAACTCAATAATATTAAAATATCTAACTGAAATTATTGTAAAAATTTAACAAAAAAAAACTAGATACTTTTACCTCACAATCAAAATGACACACCTCACTTCTTATTAGCTTTTAAATACTGTTAATTTAGTTCAATACCTTTTAGGTGAGCCATTATTTTCTACCAATTCTTTCAATTAGTTTTTAATGAAGTCGACCAATTTTTTGGTGATCCTGGGCTTAACCTGCTCTATTCTTCGAGAAGATATTTTTATAAGTCTTCTTTGCTTGAAATTTGTTGTTTTCTGATTTTTACCTCCAATTTTGTCCACAAGTGTTCTATTATATAAAAATCTGGTGACTGTGTTAGTTTTTATAACTTTGGGACAATTATAAAGTAGTCATTCCTTAACTAACATGGAAGAGTTTTTGGGATCATTATCGTGATAAAACAAAATTTGTTTTTAACACCAGATTTTCCACACTTTCTTTCATGTTTCTTCTCAAAATGCCTATGTAAACATGTTTATTCATTAAACCATCTATAAAGTGAAGATTTCCTATATCAGAATCCACCATACACCTCAACACAAACGACAGTGTTATAAACACTGTCACCCCATATATCAGGGTTGGGCATAAATAATTTTTGCAATGTCTTCTCCTGGTAGCCTCCAAACATAGACTCAAAAATATCAAATTATTTTCATCAGCAAATATCACCATTGTCCAAAATGCGAGGTCCTTCAATAAATATTCATTGTATATTTGTTGTACATATAAACATTCATATAAATTGTACCCTAACTTTTTGAATTTGTTTGTTGATAAAAGGTTTCTTTTGAAGTATCTTCCATGAAATTTATTTTTTCTTAGCACACACCATGATGTTTCTGAACTTACTGGCTTACCTAAGCGTTTAGATAGTTCCATGGCAATTTTGGTTGCACTCTAACATGGATTTTGTTTTATTTCTCTGATGATCCAGGTTAGATCTCTATCACTTAAAATATTTCTTAATGTTTTAGCTTTTTTCCTGACAATGCACTTTTCTTTTTTGTATCGCTTCACTATATGCTGGACAGTTGAACAACCTTTTTTAATAATTTCAGCTATTTGATTAAGATATTTCCCATCAGTAAAATGTTGAATGACTAACTCGCGCTCCTAAAAAGTTGTATGTAGTTCACCTAAAATAATAGTAATATAAGCATAATAGTACACCAAGATGAAAAGATAAATAGTATTCATTAAATAAATTTATAAATATAAAAAAATATTAATTACAAATAAATTAATTAGAGGTAAAAATAAATAAAACGAGTTTTTGAATTAAAAAAATAAATTTGAATACAATAGAATAACATTATATACTAATACAACATTATTCTGTGTATAATAGTAAATTATACACTTTGTAATGTTGCTGTATTGTATTTAAATTCATTTTTATAATTAAAAAAATTAACCTTATTTATTCTTAGCCCTAGTTGTTTTATTTTTACTTGTATTCTACTTTATATTTTTTGATAATTGTATTGTATAATTGTACTATTTATTAATTTATTTTATGTCCACTATTTATCTTTCTGCCTTGTATTAAACATATTTTCTTCTTGGCTTGCTTATACAATTTTATCAATTCACTATGATGAACAAAAAAATAACAAAATTAATGTCGTAATTAATAATCAGACATTAAAACAAAGTAACCATTAAAAATAATCTTTATATTAAATTATTTTTAAATAGTTCAACCCAAAACAACTAGTAATTTTATTATTATTATTCCTCTGTTTTTTTTTAAAGTAGTTTTAAATGTTATTTGTTTCTAAAAAAAAACTGTTTGAATAATAATTCAAAAGAAAAAAAAATTATAATAGATTAATATAATTCAGAATTATGATTTCAATTTTTTGGTTAAAAAAAACACAATAAATAATATTTTATATGAAATCAATTTAAGTATTTATTTAGTAAAATAGAAATTAGAAAACTATTTTTTTTTTAACAACACAGTAGATAATATAAAATCTACTTTGTTTTTAATCACAGTGCTTATGGATCTATGTTCATCACGATAAGAATCTTGTATGCCATGTCTCGTGATGGGATGATTTTCAAACTGTTCTCAAAGCTAGACAGGTACACTAAGAAACCAGCCATTCCAGCCATGATTTTTGGTATATTTGTAGGTACAGAAATCATTACTAGATTTAATATTGAATAATGATAATATATTAGACATTATTTGATTTAACTCTCACATTAAATAATTAAACAACAGTTGTGTGGGTATTGCCAGTAAAACAAATGAAAGTTTTCACATTCACAACTTTAACATTGTGTAGAAAAAGAGTCTTCATTAATATGATACTAAATTCCAAGAGGAAGCAGGGATTTAGGTTCTGGAATATTTGATGGAAAAGACAGGTGAATAAATGAATAAATAAATAGTTTTTAGTAGATTTCAAGAAGACTGTTCTGTGACTTGTGGTTGCAGAGAAACGAATACTGCAGGACATATGTGTGTATCATTGTATGATCTGATTTTATAGTTAAGTTGGTGGATGGAAGACTGTATGTAAAGCAATGGTTGAACAATTAGTTTTTGAAATTCTGCATTGTATAATAATATTATATTGAGATGGAATGACTGGAATGAGCCAAATTTGGAGTATAGTAGTTGGTTACTTAATTTAGAGATGGATACATTTCTATCTGTTCCTTTTCCCGGGGGTAAATTGAATGTGCTACCTGTGTAAATGTGGATTGTGACGGATAGGTTAGCTCAAACTTCTCTTCCACTTCATCCTCCCTTCTTGGGCCTATGGTTCTCTCGGACTTTACTCCATTTTTAAATTGGACATAATTAAAAAAAAATATCAGCAAATGATGACATTAGTATACCATTAAAAAGGTAGGATCAATCACGTATTAAGGAGAGTGGCGTTCGGATTGAAAAAAGTGGGTTCTCCCAGACTACTGGATTTCCCTATTCCCCACTGGAAATGCAGGATTAAGAAAAAAACTTCAGTCTGAGCATTGATGTCGATCCTGTGTTATTCTGAAAACTGTAGACCCAGAGATCTTTTGTAGTACATATCTTGGAGTTCTGACAATGGTCAGATTCTCCATTCAAGACATGAATGTATGTTGCTAAAGCGCTCTCCCTCAATCTTCACTGGCTTTAGCACCAGTGACGCGGCTGAGAGAGTGGGCTCTTGGGATGATTTCCCCTCTATAGTTGGAGTGACAAGCCTGAGGGTTTCCTGATTGTATATAGGTATGATTGTGTTTTTTAATTCACTTATCATAAGGTTATTTTATTTTTTATTGTATATAGTTTCTGATGCTTTTACCCTACTTTGTTGCCGTTATTATTTATTTCATAGTGCTATGTATTGAACATAGTAAATAAACTTTTAAAATTGTTTTGAGGTGTAAAAAACAAAGTTGGAATATCCTGACACCAAACACATCAGATACCTGCCTGGAACCTGCAAGGACTGACCTATACCTGGACCCTGGGGAAGGCTCAGAGTAACTGGTAACTAGTAACGGGTCATGTAACTGATTCCTTTTAGGGGTGTTACCAGTTATTGTGAAGTGATAGAGTGAAGTTCTGAACCAATCAAAACCATCCTTGCCCCACCCTGATTTATTTGTATAAAATCTCACGAGAAGTAAGAAGAGAGATCCTATGTTTTATTCTGGCTTGGTGACTGAAGCCTTGACTCTAGATAGAAGTCAAGGCTTCTATCCTGGCAGAGTTTGGACCTGGGCTTGACGAGATGTCCTCGGATCAGCTGATGCTGTGATGAAACTTACCAACTACACCACTTCTTATACAATAGCTAAGTTTTATTCCCAATAATAAATTTACCAATGTTAGAATATTTCATGGCAATACAACTCTCAAAACAGTCCATCTGAAATCATACCTACACAGTTAATTATTAAATACTTTGAATCATATATTTAGTTTATTGTATATAGTATTTGCCCATTAACATTTCTATGTTATTTGTATATTATTCTTTACTAAGCATAGAAATAATTTAAGTTTTTTAGTAAAATTTATTTTAATTCTGCCACCTATTTATATCATGATGATCACAGGTGTTGTTGGTAATTAAGAAGCATGATAAACAAAAACCAGGCTTTGAGAGAAGAAATTCAATTAATTAATCATGGACCAAATATGTTATAAGACTCAAATTTGTATTACTAATCTTTTATTGTTAATTTTTACTAAATAATTCTGGATAATTATCATTGATAATTATGCAGTGGCATCCCGAATAAATTTAACACCCCAAAACGTAGCAATAGTTCTCTGTAACTGTTACTATTTTATTCATAGTTACCTAACTTTGTTACCGTTATGTTATATATCCTAACTTTGCTTCCGCTATTTTCTACCTCTAACTTAGTAACCATTATTTTATATTTCCTGCATTTCCTTTAAGTTTATTCTTCCTACATTTTTTAGACTATACCTTTCACCTACATATTATTGTTTTCTTTTTAATTTTGTAATGTTAATAGTTTCTGATACCTATTGTTATCTGTTTTGTTTTTCTTACTCCTGATGAAGGCCTGGACTTTAGGCCGAAACATCGGAAAAAATAAAAATAAATATACTTATTTATTTTTACATTTTTTTTAATGATCACCCGCAAATATTCTTCTCTTCAATTATTTACTACAGTCAACCATCAATCCACAATTATGAAAATAGAGTTTCATTATGAATGAGAAAAATTTTCTGCGGTTCAAGGAATTCATGAATGGAGGTAAAGAAGACGGTGGGAACATCTCACTTCATTATAGGTGCCAGCAGAAGAGGGCAAGTGCCGGAAAGACCTCCAAATTCTGGAAGCTATTCTTGAGTTATTGAAGATAAAAAATGTAAAATGAACTTCCAACCCAAAATAGACAGGCAAATGCTACTCTGAGTAACGAGTACCAAGTATTTTACTCAAATTGATGCACTATTTGGAATCCAATCACTACTTCAGTTAATCATTTGATATCAACTGAAATAGTAATTAAATTCTTTGGTACTCTAAAAAAGATCAGTATTTGAGTAAAATACTTGGTACTCAGTACTCAGAATAGCAATTGGCCATCTCTGATTCCAATTACTGCCTTAATCCACTTACATCATAATTATTGTTGAGAATGATTAATTTATTTTAAGTTATAATTGGCTCTTTAGATTTTTAAATTAAAATTTTCAATGATTATTTTTTTAGGATTGGTTGCCACATTCATTTACGTTGACACCAGTGTCTGGTTTTTCAGCTTGATATGGGCTAAGATTATGACCACTGTATGCCTTCTCATAACTAGGTAAGATCGAAATATATCTTCTAATGATTGTACTAATGCTACTTATGTCTCCACTTTAAGTTTATGAATAGTATTTTTTATGAACAGCAACATGGATCAAAATGAAACTTCTTTGGTTTTTATTATTCAGACTGCGTTATCAAATGTATTGTAATTCGAGTAATATGTAAATAATTCCTAATATGTTGAAATTATATTGCATTAGACACCAGTTAGATTTTTCACAATTATAAAATTGTCTCCTATCTTTATAGATTATGATTCCTTCAAGTCACATATGTGGTGTAAAATAGTAATTACATACACAAATAAATGAAAAGGCAATTAATACACATTGTTGGGACCAGGGGTACTTCAAAATTAAATTACAAACCTTTCCCTGATGAATTTCCCCAAAGGGGGGGGGGAAATTCGAGTAAAACTAATTGGTGGGAAAGAAGGGAAAAAGTTAATGAGAATGAGACCTGTAAAACATGAAAAATTTATGCACATCAAAATATTATAAAAGAGAAATATGATAATAAATATGAATCCCCTTATGAATGTTCACACAGTTATATTAAATAAAAAGATATATATATATATATATATATATATATATATATATATATATATATATATATATATATATATATATATAAGTTCACTAAAATAAATAAAAACACCAAATATAATATTCAGAGAAAAAATAAAATTGGCCATCAAAACAAAACATAAATAAAATAAACTTCTATAATAAAGATGAAACTAAGAAAAACAAAATAACTTCAAGAGAACAAAATCAAATTGATATCAATTAATCGAGAATAAAATTAATTAAAAGAAAAAAAATAACTTGAGTGTTCATTAAAGTTTAAATAATAATTTCGAGAGAAAAAACAATTTAATATTTAACTATCCCATGGTGATGGAGAGAATAAAAAACGCTCCAAGTTGGAGGCTCTTCTTTCAAAGAGCTTACTTTGCACGATGTCAAGACGATGGAAGGGAGTATCGAATCGATAGGCCTAATGATCTCGTTCGACGACTAGAGATGACACAGCTGGGCTTTTCAAAATGGCGCTAGGCTGGCGCAGATGAGGTGAGACTGGGGGAGCTGAGGGGAGCTGGTAGGGGTAAATGTCCAATAGATGGATCCAACACAAACGGCAGCTCGCTCCAGACTAGCTTTCCAGCAGTATTATCGCATTATTTTGATGTCTTAATCCCTAAGACTGGGTATTAATACCGGGCTGGTGCATATACAAATGCGATAATACATCGCAGACGAAGCCAAATATATAAACAATATACACTGAGATATGTTATAGGAACAATATCTCACAGTTTTTTACCAAACAAAAAAAAATAAAGATATGAGCGTATGCGGCGTTAACACACATAATAGGGGAGGTTACGGACGTTGGGTCACCGATTTCAATGTTACTTTTTTTGATAATACTAGGTAGAAAAATATTAGACCCATGTCCGAGGGTTCTTGCCAATGTGCTCTAGGAGCCGAGGAAAAAAAAAATGTATTATATGTTTATGTTATTGGATTCTGACTTTGCTCTGAATGAATTTGTAAGTTATTATATATTAATCAATTTGTTTGTTTGTGTAAAATAAGGAAAACATATTGCTTATAGTATTAGATGAATTCTTGAATATTCTAGGCAGAATATTGAGCGAAAAATTTACATTTTTCAATTGCAACAAAAATGATTTTTTAAGGGTTTTGAGGGTTGCGAAAAATGAATATTATATTTTTTTATCGCCCAAAAATATATTCTGTTTGATTGAATATACTGTTTGAATATCGACAAAATACTGTAAATTGTGCTTATAATCTTTCATTTGATATACCCGTCCGGTTTAGAAAAAAATATATATTTGGCACACAGCTATAGTATGTATTCAATATTGAAACAAATAGTACTAAGCTAAGGAGTAGACTAGGTTAAATATTTTTTTAAGGAGAAACAAACTTCTCCTTTATCACAAGTGCAATATAATTTTGTTTTAGCAATCCCATTCCCTCGAATCTGTGGATTATACACGATTTTATTTCAAATTTAAAAATAATTTAAAGTAATTTACTTTGACTTTGGGAATTTCATTTAGTTTTCATGGGGGAATATTTAGTTTTCGTTTAATCACATTAATTTTTACAAATAATTATTTATAAATTTTATATTACTATATATATTACCTTCTAAGACTTTATATGTTAGATATTGTTTTTCCTAAAATTCTCAGGTTTCCAACGATATATCATACGTTCATTCATTCATAGTTTATAATGAATATTACGAAGCTTATTTCACTGCAGAAGGGTCATTTATGTATGAGAAGCAATGGCCCGGGCAACTTAGTGGAGTTCACAATGTGGCCCGCGGGCCAAAACATTTGGAGACTCCTGATCTACGTGATAACATATCTTTCACTGTTTTTATCTTTTTTCCATCATCTGAATTGTATATCATATATCCATTATCTTATGTATCCATTTCGTAAACTTTGTTAACTACTCTTCCTTTAAATTTATTTTTGTTTAAGAATTTTGGGTATCTTATATCCCAATTTTGATGATGGTTGATCAAAGAAGACTGGGATTGAAACAAAAACAAAAAACATAGGTGAAAGACATCTCAGTGTTTACTCTATACTAATAATTGTGCTAATGCCAACTTACAGGTTTAGATATGAAAATAAACCATTGGCATCCAAGAGTAATGAGGAAAAACCAAAGGAGGAAGAAGATAGGGAGGAAAAATATAAGAATTGGGTTTTGATTAATTATCCTGAGTACAATACACAACCAACGAAAACCACTCACAGCATCAGCATGTTCTTGATATACAATACAGGTAACCGCAAAACAGACATTTATCTTTCTTTTTTTTTCTGTTGGCACTACAGAATGATTATCTTAATAATATTATATAACTTTTCTGGATTACTTGCTGGGACAGCTGGAACTGGATTTATAGTTAATAGGGCAGTACGACAGCATCTAAACGTCTAGTAGTGAGCAGTACGATGTTCCCGCACAGGGGCTTATATAAGTCAGTAATAAACTTCACTCCAGTTCATGAAAAAATAAGCGTGCTGCGCGTAAGAGGTTGTATGTTTAATATCACAATTATTAGTGTGTATGCACCAACCGAAGAAAAAGAGGATGAGATAAAGGACGATTTCTACGATCAGTTAGAAAAAGGTGTGGACCAGCCTCCAAAATATGAAATAAAATTAGTCATGGGAGACTTCAATGCAAAGGTTGATCGAGAAACCCAATTAAGCCCATCAGTGGAGGCCAAAGTTTCAAACCACCAGTGGCAATGGAGTGAGATGTATCAGTCTGACAGCATCTAAAGGTCTAGTAGTGAGCAGTACGATGTTCCCGCACAGGGGCTTATATAAGCACACCTGGTTAAGTCCTGAAGGAGCAAAAAGGAAAATCGACCACGTGCTGGTAGACAAGAGGCATCAAAGCATTATAAAAGACATACGAAGCTATCGTTGAGCAGATTGTGAATCGGACGACCATATTGTGATTAGAATAAAACTCTGTCAGAGGCTGAATCGAATCCACCAATTTGGGGATCAAGTGGAAAGAAAGAGGTACGAAGACCGTAATTTGAAAAACCCTACAGTATAGGCAGAATTCCAAATTGAATAAAGTCGAACCCTTGCACGCGGAAGGCCTAAAATTGAAAGGCATTGGGAGGCACTAGAGTCAGGACTAAAAAAGCTAAGGAAGTAATAAGGATTCAGGAAAAAAGGAAAGCCAAGAAATGGTTCACAGAAGAATGCCAATGAAAGAAGAAAAGTCCTCTGCCTAGCAAAAAATGATCAAGCTATGCTGGACAAATACGCAGCCACGAAAGACAAACAAAATAATGAGAACAGCAAAAAGAGAATTCCTCAAAGAAAGATTACAAGCTATTGAGGAAAACTGGCAGGCTGGAAATATATGAAAAAGGGTAGGATGTAAAGCATCAAACTAGAAGATAATAAGCGTCTGAAAGGGACACTTCCAGCAGCTGCTCAATCAAGGGAACCCCACAAACGAAGAAGATATGGACTACTCTGAGGACATCGACCCACTTGAGGATGAACAACCAAATATTCTGGATGTTGAAATAGCTATCAACAGACTTAAAAGAAGATAGGCTCCAGGGATTGAAAACCTACCATTAGAATTGTTCAAGGATGCGGGAAAACACCTGCAACAATAAAGTGCCTAGCTGTTAGATCTAATCCAGATATGGGAGAAGGAACAGATACCACAAGCCTGGAACACAGGGTTGATCTATCCTATCCTTAAGGTACTATTTCGCTGGTGTGGTCCAAGACCGCGACTGCTTGCGGTTGACCACTGCGTTAGTAGAATAGAAAGGAACATATTTCGCTGGCGCTGCTCGGCAGTCTAGGTATGACGCCATATCTAAGCTGCTCCTATCTGACCGCTCTCGAAGCAGTGGAGCTGTTGGCGGTTCGGCGGTTGATGGTTATGTCATCATATAAGAGCATTGTTTTGTTGATAACAGTCACGTTGATACATTTTATTTCCTATGTTTCTTTCAAATCTGACAAAATTATAAGAAATATTGTTTAAAACTCAAACAATGCAATAGTAAATTATTTTTTTAAGGTTGAAGCAACAAGATTATTTATTTATTTATTCCACCAACAATATTTTACAGCGAAATTCAAATATACCTAAATCCAAACGATATTAAATAAATTAAAGAATCCAACAAATTTTAACGTCAGGTTCAATCCACTCATTGAAAAATCGATTTGTATTTTTTAATTAAAGTGGGGATTTACTAATTATTATTGATAAAACGATAAAACAATATTTATTTATTTATAAAACGATATTTATTACTAATCAATTGTGTAATAATTACTATTACTTTTCAAACTAATAATATCTAATATCAGAGGAATTATTGTTGTTAGTACGCCGTTGCCCGCCTTTTTGTTATTTTTTGGTTGTTCCTCAATTTTCGATTGTTCATCTAGACAATAGCAAACAATGTCCAAGAAGGGATTTGATGATTTAGATGATGATCATCTCATCGAAATACTGATATTCCTTTTCCTTATAAACACTATTTCCTCTTCTTCCTCCTCAAATAAAACTGCGTAGTCAGAGAAAGAAGTTCCATTTTTTTATCTTCGAAGATAACAACCCCAGTGAGCAGTTTCAGCGAAATAACTACGCCAACAGCGGTTGGCAGCGTGGAATAGCGGTTGCTGTCGTGGGCAGCGCCAGCGAAAGCCTTTAAGAAGGCAGAGGCATAGAACTTCTTCTGGTTGCCTATAAAATAATGAAAACATAATTGGCGAACATCAAAGATCAGCTACTTATTCAGTTACAGTTTCTATTTATAAAATATATATATATAAGTTTAGTTTCCAATTTATTGATTTTAAGCCAACTTACACCAATTATTTCACTACAAAATCTTATTGCGACGTTTCGGCTCGTCGAGCCATTTCCAAATCCATCATGTTCCTGTCCTTACTTCTTACGTGAATTACATGTGTCTTCTCATAATAACTATTATCGCGATCGTCATGTCTATCTTTAACTTATTATACGTTAATCCACATGTTGTTGGTTTCATTTCCATTAAGTGACTGATGTAAGAAATAATAAGACTTTGTTGTGAAAGAATTGGTGTAAGTTGGCTTAAAATCAATAAATTGGAAACTAAATATTATGCACCGAAGTAGAAGAAAGAAATATTGAGTATATATAAGTTATTTTTTCATCTCTTCTGTTCTAGTGATTTTAGTCTTGAGCAGTATCTTCTGCGCAGTGATTCTTTACCATACCGAACAAGGAGATTTGAAAGAAATTTTCAAAATAACTGGCTTTCTAAGCATACTCTTCTGCTTCCTCTTCTCATACCTTCTCAAACACCAGCCTACTAATGACAGGACTAATCTGTCCTTTTTAGTGAGATATTCATGATATTTAGTTTAATTTATTTGTATTCACTTCATAATAAATAAAATATATATTATAGTGATTTTGGATATGTATATTCAAAAATTGATTTATAATAATAATAATAATACTTTATTTATTCTAGAACAAGTCCCTCAATCAAGTGCAAGCTGTATTCTAGCTTCTCAATTAAAAAAAAAACATGAAATACAAATATTTAAATTTATATACATATTTACATCTATTTACAACCTAATGGGGACTGAACGTGGGATAGGAGGTGATTGAATAGGCGAGATTTAAAGGCGGAGAGGGTATTGGACCGACGGATGCAGGCATAGAATTTCAGGGACGAAGATCGGAAAATGAAAGATATCGAAGGTAGCGGTTCGGTGGGCTCTTATATACAAATCCGAAGACCGGGAACGGGATTTATGAGAGTAAAAAGGGGATTTGAATTGAAGGATTTCGTAGATCTATGAAAGACAATGGTAGTCGTTGACTTGGAAGAGGAAGGAAGCTATGAAGTACTTACGACGATAGGAAGGATAAAGCCACTTCAGCTCTTCATAAGAACGGGCGACAGAAGCGTCCATTGCGATCCCGAAGATGAATAGCACAAAAAAATTTATCAAACTTTTTAGTTTTGCCTCGAGATGCCTAATGACGTCACCATATACCGTACTTACTCCTCGGCGCTATAGTCCGCGTGGGACCTTGGTCTTCTTAACAATTCATCGCCACTCCTCTCGGTTCAATGCGACAGCCCTCCACCGCCTGACGCCAAGCTGTCTCGAATCCGCCTCAACATCTTCCAGCTTCTCCTTCTTGCTCCTCCAGGTCTCCCATATAATATTTTCCTCGGCACTCGGTCCACTGCCATCTTTTCCACATGTCCTAACCATCTTATGCGTCATGCCTTAATGAGATCACTAATGAGATCTGAAACGTCTTCTTCTCATACAGGCCCGTAAATCCTCTAGGTAATCTTACGTTCCCACACTCCAAGAGCACCCTCTCGTGTTTTTCTGAGATAACCCACGCTATAGTCCACACTTGGGTGGTACCAATAGATTAGTCCAGCCATGTTTTTGTTGGTTTTTCGTAACAATATAATTTTTTTCTGGGACTGGGTCGTTACCCCGATGCCCAACCACAACCTGAAAGACGAGTGGGATTTTCTGCCATAAACGGCTGTCTTCACCAAGACTGTCACGTCTATCCTCGCAGTATGACCTCAGTCCCACAGTGCCCTGGAAGCACTTCCTTTGTTTGACAGGAGAAGCCCTGCTGGCAACATTCCTGACTGGCCGGGACCCAGGCCCCCCTGTCAAGACCCCCCAGGCCACCCACCCAGGTCCTCCGCAGGGATTGGTTACCACTGCTTTGGACCCGAGTTGCAGGCTACGTGGCCATTTGTGTCCCATATTCCTTTACTTCCCCATTTGGGCCTCCATATACCGTACAGCAATAGCCATAGTGAGGAAATATTAAGAAAGTGATCAGGAGTTTACGGGTTTCAAATGTAAATAGGTAGAGGAGGTAATTTAGAAGTTTCAAAATGGAAAATATATGGCGAGAGATATTGGATAAATGGTCTTTCCAGGAAAGGGTTTGATCAAAGGTTATTCCAAGGTTCTTAACGGTGGGATAAAATTTGATAGAATTATCATGTAGGAGCAGCGTTGGGATTTTAGGAATAGTTTTAAGGAGTTGGAGAGTATCAAAATTGCCTCCGCATTCCTCCTCAACTTGTCGGCTTTCCCCCCAGTCACAAATTCTGTTCAAATCATCTTGAACTTTTTTGGTGGCTTCGTTCAGAAGGGTGGAAGGACAGGTACATTTGGAAGTCATCTGCATAAATATGTTATTGGGAGTGATCAATCAGGAGAGTAAGGTCATTAATGTAAATAGCAAGCAGATTAGGAGATAAGGAGGAACCCTGAGGGACACCACAGAAGAGCGGAAGTGTTTTAGAAGGAGGTTGATCTGGGACGACTACATACTGGCACAGGCGGATTTACGGGGGGGGGGACTTTCGGGCTGAAGCCCCCCCCCAAAATGGTAAAATCTAACCATGTTTTATGGTAAAAAATAAAAAAATTATGTCTTAAAGTATTATAGCTCGTTTAATTACATTTAGTAGGGCTTCAAGAATCACTTAAACACCATTTCATATGGGTAGTTAGTATCTTTCTGTTTTTCCAACGTAATTATCGTTATATATATGAAAAAAAAAAGCTTCCGGGCTGAAGCCCCCTCCCAAAATTAAATCCTGGATCCGCTAGTGCATACTGGGATCGGTCAGAAAGGAAGGATTTGAACCAACGCAGGACTATTCGATATAGGAAGATTTTTCAGCTTAGTAAGGAGGATGAGGATAGTAAGTTTTTGGTGTTCAGTGGAGTTTTAGAGGTCATGAGTTATATTTAGGAGTGCAGATTGTTTTTAGTGGCCAGGATGAAAGCCAGATTGGAGAGGGTTGATTAGGGATTACCGATAACCTTTTGGACAATAATTATGCGCCATTAAATTTAATATTTCAATGTTTTTGGATCTCAAAAATTATAAAAATGGAGAAATGTATTGATAGTTGGCACTGATTATACAGATTCATTATAAATGGTTCTAGAATCTGCCACCAGTTTTGACCAATGAGAACCGAAGAAATCGTTGAGTCTCGCCCCGAAGTTCCCTTGTTATCAGTAGTGGACCAGAAAAAGTGAGGTTAAAAAAAATACCATCCACCGAAAAAAAAATTTTTTTGAAGTAGAATACTAAGACAGTAATTTAGAAACCATATAAATCCCAAAGTTTACTTTATGAATGTTGTTTTTGACATTTTTGAGCAACAGATATTGTAAAAGAACAACAGATAAGATAAAGGGCAAAGCAACAACACTGCGATATTGAACTGGTTTCCCTTGGTGAAACAGTTTTCTTTTTTAATACTTTTTTTAAAGTAATTAAATATATCTCATGGAATATTGTAAATTATAAGGATACATTATCTAGCATAGCTATTCTGAAAAATATCAACCAGAAATAAGGATAAAATACAAAAACGTTATATTATCCGAGGTATCTAGAAACCTTATAACTATTTTTCTTCGTTTATCTTTCCAATAAATTTTTACATTGTCGTAGATTACAACAAATTGTAATAAATTAGTTCCTAGAAATCTAAACAAAATGTGATAAGTATCCATGACAACCGTGGTACCTAGGAAGCTTTCGGAACGAATTTTTGTTTTTTTCGAAAACAGTGCATTTTCAAAACGCACTGGACTCGTCCTTGATTTTTGCTTCAAAATTATTAAAGCACAATTTATCCCATATAGGTATATATACCTACTAATTTCAGGGATTTGAAATTCTTATTTTATCCAATAACTTTCTATTAAAGTTATACTAGGAATTTAAACATAGAAATTCGTTACTTCTTGATTAAATTATCTCTCGTTTGATGACTCTTTCATCAAAATCTATCACTCCTGAGATCCAGAAATGGAAACTGTATTTTCGTATTATATATTGTAGGTTTTAAAGCGTAATTATTACTTTTTACTAAGCCAATAAGTTGATAACTATAGCTAATTGTTTTGCAGACGCCTCAGGTACCTACGTTCCCCTTGGTGTCCATAGCAGCAGACTTCCTCTCCTCCTTGCTGCTGTGCCAACGGAGCTGGTTGTATGGCGTCATTTGGACAATCTTAGGTAAATATTTTCATTTATCTCAGATAGCCTCACACTGAGAATTTTACAAAGAATTCAGAACCCTCTCTCGTTACTCATATCCTGACAATGAAAGATTGTTTTGGTTAAGAATAAAACTTTTAGTTACTAAAAAATGTAGGCTAGATTTAGTGCTGTATGGACGGTTGAATGATGAATAGGATTTAGAAAAAGTATATATGTATATAAATGAAACAATATCAGCCATTGCCTCGGTGCAACATAAAATTCATTGTAAAAGGATGCACTAATAAAGTATTGAGAAAAAAGTAATTTTTTTTTACAGTTGTTTTCAAAGCGAACCATAAAAACGTAAAACCATAAATGCGTCACTGTTCTGAGATTTCTGGGCAAAAAACTGAACCAAGTGATTTTCACAATTTTCTTTTGATGAAAGCTTTACATTATTAAGAGAAGTCTGCCGCGATCGAAAAAAGTTGGGTGAGGTTCGGGCCATACGGTTAATGCATCAAAACTTCCCAGCCATGCTCTCTTAATCTTTGCTGGATCATTAAAGATGTACGTGGTCTACCTTAGTCGTAATGCCTTTCCTCTCTATCAATTATGGCCGCTTTTCTTAAATCGGCTGCTTCAATCACACTCCATGCTCACAGTAGAAAGTTATTGATGGTTTCGCCAGGTACGAGCAGCTCATGATGAACAATTCTTTTTCAATTTCACCGAACACCCAGAATCACCTTCCTTGGCGTCAATGGGGGATTTGTCGCTGATTTTGATTGACCTCAATCTTTTCGACAATTATTTCAACTTTTAATCATCCGTAATCATATGTTTCAAAAGTGGATCGATTTCGTATTGTTTCATCAGTGATTCACAAATAAAAACTCGGTCCAATACATTTTTCACTGTTAATTCATGTGGAACACAAATTTCTAGCATCTTTTGGTATTCAGCTTTATGCAAATGGTTCGAAACTGTTTTTTATCGATATTTAGTTTCATAGAGATGTCGCGAGATGAAATATGACGATTTTTTAAATAATTTCATTGACTTTTATGATGATTGGCCGATTATAGCGATGTTCACCTTTAACATAAAAATTTCCGGAACGAAAACATGCAAACCAATTCCGAGACTGGTTAAGCACTCATCTCCATAAATATCATGCAATTTTAGATGAACCAGCTCTGCATTTTGCCCATTCCGGAAGTGAAACAGCAAAATATGACGAAAATTACCTTCTGGAACGTACATCTTTAATGCATAATAACTGTTGACTGAGTAAATAAATGACAATATTTTTATTTATAGAGTGTTCGTGTGAATCGAATAGAATAGAATAGAATTAGATTGTGACCTTTTAAATGCACTATAGAATATTAGCGCACTTAATCTTTTTTGCGGTGGTTTAATGCTTGAGGAACCCAAGTTTCAAACTTTTTTACCTTTCCAATTGCTTTAAAGTAGTTGGCGTTTGTCGGTTTGTTAACTGAGTGTTTCTCCTTAAACTCTCAAAAGTTCTATAATAGCTGTTTCGGAATATACTTCTATCAAATCTCACAGAACAGTTTTTAAACCCGTAGTCGTTGCAATCGTCTAAATTAACATCGTCTCGAACTTCATTAATGTTTCTGCACTTTTGGGCTCCGTTTCGACCGATATTAAACTTGTAAAACGAAATTATGCGAAAATCACCCTTTAAATTTTTTTTGTAAAGAATGAATCATTTCCAACTAATGAAATGCAACAAAAGGCATTTTTATTTGGAAGAGGATCAATACATGTTGACACCCATACATAAGGATAATCCCTCAAACGAAAGCAGTTTGTTTTATAGAGCATTAATATATATAAAACATGAAATATTTTATTATTTACCAGACATGTAAATATTTTTGTATCCATAAATAATGTCAAAATCCAAAAAATCGTATTTAAAAGTCTAGCTCCACCAAAAATGTACCAGATGTCTTTTTGAAATAAACTGACGATATACTGAACGTTTTGAACGAAATTATATCTCATCTTTTTACTAAGGAATTTTTCAAAATTAAAATAAGTATTTAAATATATAATCAACCAAAAACTGTGTACTTTTTTGAGTTATTCGAAAATGATATTCTATTTTATTGTAACTTTTTCCTACCTTCTTTTCGGGTTAGTATATCATATGCATAATTTTAAAATGCTTTAAGAAGAATCCTATTGTGTAATAATCAGAAGTATTTTTTGCACTGTGTGTGTGGAATATACTGATTTTATAAGACCTTGCCTAATCCTGTTTTCATGTTGACCTATTTTAATCAATAAATGATTAAGTATATGTAAATAAAAACTTTTAATCTCACACATATTTATTTTATAACTAAACATCTTTTTAACAAGAATTATTATTTTACGTTTCCGCTCTCATACAATCATTATTTATAAAAACTTTTAAATATATATATGTTTATAGTATACTACTCAAAGGGCAGTAATTAATTAAAATGTAAAACTTTTTTTTTTTCTTCTTTTCAACCTCCGCAAATAATTAAGCTAAATAGATCATAGCTTGGAAGCTTTGTTTGTGAAATCTTTTAACTATATACGAACAGTTATTTTCTTTTGTTTTCATTAATTCTTGCTTATCTTAGATTTGATATTTAAACAATTTTCTGACAGGTGTCGCATTCTACTTCAGCTATTCGATTCGAAACTCCCAAGAAGGCAGGAACCTCTTTGCGGACGGTACGAGGTGGAACCCTCTGGAGTCCCACATGGAGATTGATGGGAGGTCCAATAGATAAGAGGCACTCGTAGATTGTCGAAGGATAAAAAAATGGCAATAAAAGCTATTAACATATGTACAAATGTCTTTTTATATGTAGCTAACTGAAAAAATAAAAATTATAGACCGGAGGAGTGGAAATTAAGTGCACAATATTTATAGCTGGAAATCGGATTTCCATGCTGTAAAAAGAAGCACTCCGGTGGCATTTTTTCTTAGAACTCTTTTTTTTCTCTTCACTAGTCTAGACTTGTTAACTTACAAATACTTCCATTCTTGTTTTTGTTTTGGTTTTTTTAAATGGAGAATAAATAAATATATATTGTTTTAAAAATTAAGTACATAAATATACACTGACAGGCAAAAAATTCCAACTACTATTTCGTTTCTTCTTCTCCACACACTTTCACGCCCGTCTGGAGATCGAAGAGCGAATCTTGACTCATCTGTAAAAAGGACAGCACTCCATTCGTCCATAATCCAATGGCTGTGTTCTCGAGCAAAAGCCAGCCGTGTTACTCTGTGAGTTCTGGTCAATTCTGGTTCTCTTACTGGACGAAAAGCCATTAATCCATACTCATTTAATCTTCTCCGAGCGGTATGTTCAGAAATTTGCACACCTCGAACTTCTTCGAGCTGATGAATCGCTTGAACAATGGTAAGGTGCCGGTTTTGTAAAATTCTCAAAGTCAAAAACCGGTCATATTTATATTATATAATCCGGCCTGGGAGAGGTAGACTTTTAAATCGTGGCAGATCCATGAAATGGAACTCGATTCTCCCACTCTGGTTAGAATCGGTTTGGTTGTACCTCTAGAACAATCCCCCTCCCTCCCCTGCCAGAAATGGTGGGCAGGAGGTTATCCAATAAATAAAAAAATATATAGAGAATGCCTAGAGCCATCGCCTGGGTCTGCCGAGAAATAAAAATTAACAGATTCAGAAAGGAACCAAACCCACAACTTTGAGAACTATTCTGGTGTCGAGGTACAGTGAAATCGATTACGAACCAAGCCGTCAGCCAAGATGTTTTCTTTTTTAGGGGCACAGATTATACATCTCATCAAATTTTCAGCCGCCAGTATTCTCGTTAAATTTTTTTTTTCTATTAGCTTATTTATTGAAACATATTACAATCAATGTCTCAGGGACATTAATAATAGTGTTCACAGATCACATTCACACTCTATGTACAGTAAATAAAATAAATTATACAGAAAAATAATATATATACAATAAATAAGAATAAAATAACCTAAAAATAAATAAATAAAAAGAACACATGCACACCTATATACAATATTTACAACTTGGCGAGAGAACTCCAAACCAGACTTGTCCCTCCAACTGTGGAGGGAAAAGTATGACTCCAGGAGTTCCCTGCACTCCTCTCTCAACCGCGTCACTAGGGCTAAACCCAGTGGAGATTGAGCAAGAGTGCTTCTCGTTAAATAAACGTAAAATTTCATCACTTTGATTTAAATTTTCTTGTATACACCAACAGCTTTCAAGAGACTGACAGGAGTTGTGTATTGAGGTGAGGATTATCTATAATTTAAAATGGTTTCTAGCTGTAAGTTCTTCTGTTAAATGAAAGCGGCGATAGCTTCAAGTCTAATATAGTCTAATAGCTTCAAGTCTAATAGCTTAAAGTCATGTTAGTGAGGAAATAAGGGATATGAAGACAGCCCTCGATAAATATGGAGACCTCAGCTTTGAACTGAATGAGAGGTTATCTAAATTAGAAAAACATCTCGAGGGCCAAGCCAAACATTTTGAGGAGATCATTTTGGAAAACAAAGCCCTCAAAGCTCGAGTGGGCGATTTAGAGATCCGCCTGTACAAAACAGAACAGGGTCAATTATCTAGATCGCTGGAGATCCGTGGGATCCCAGTGCGAGCAGGCGAGACGCCCGCGGCTCTGGTGACCAGTATAGCCGCGGGGCTGGGCATCAAGCTCGGAGTGGAGGATTTGGATGTCGTGCAGCGCCGCAGAAGCAAGAAGGATGACCCACGACCGCCGCCGGTAATAGCACATTTCGTCAGGCAGTCAGTGAGGGACGACCTGATAGCGAGAAGAAAAGTGAAGAGGGATTTCTCGACGCGTGATATCGGGTGGCAGGAAAACGACTGCCACCGAATTTATCTCGGCGAGGAGATGACCCCAACAAACAGGCACCTCTACTGGCTAGCCCGGCAGAAGAGAGCTGCCGGGAAGATAAGATACGTATGGTTCTCTGCCGGCATTGTGCGTTGCCGAAAAGAAGACGGCCATCAAGTAATCTTGATTAATCAGGCATCGGATCTGGAAGTTTTCGCCTGACTGCACAGGTTTCATCTCTTCTTCTCGTTCTTCAAAGTATTTTTTGTCTTCATTGGTGCCCAAATAACATTGAAGATTTTGGTTAAAATTTCTCACAGCTCCAGTTTACTAATTTGTTTATTTTCTTACTCTTATTTCTCACTTATTTTTTCATTATTCACTTTTATTTTGCTTATCAGTACTTTTCATAATTTTTTTTCAGAATATGATATATGCCTCATTTCCTCTATGCTAATTTCTGACTGTTTCCCATCAAATCCTCCCCATGTCTAGCATCCTAACTACCTGCCACGTTAACTCGCAATCCCTTCTCGCCCATTATGATGAATTCCTGCAGTACTTTTCTCAAAACTTTTTTCACATCATCGCAATCTCAGAAACCTGGCTCAAACCCTATATTCCGTCCTCATCTGTCTCCTTACCTAATTACACCCTCATCCGCCACGACCGGGTCAGCCGGACTGGTGGTGGAGTGGCCATATTTGTCCATGATAGCCTGAAGTCCCGAATCCTTGATTACTCCCCACCCTCCGAACATCCACAAGTGGAGTACCTTCTAGTAGAAATTACCTGTAATAATTCACCTCTCCTTTACATAGTGATCTACCGTCCTCCCCTTGTTCCATTTGATCCGTCCTTAGAATCAACCTTACTCAACTTTGTTCCCCTCTATCCTAGAATAATCATCGCCGGTGACCTCAATACCAATTTCCTTTCTAATTCCAAAGACAAAACCTATCTAGAAAACCTATTTTTTTCCCTCCATCTCTTTATTGTTCCTTTTTATCCTACTCACCACACCCACAAGGCCGACACTTGGTTAGACTTCTTCATTATAGACTCCGAAATAAATCTCCTCTCCTCTTCTCAACTGCCAGTATCCTTCTTATCGTCTCACGACATGATCCAAATAACATATAATATCCAAACCCCTCTGATTCATCCGAGAACCTTCACTTTCCGTCAGATAGACACTCTCACCCGTGAAAAAATACTACCTGACCTTGAAACCTTAGACTTGAACGAAATATATTCCTGCTCCTCCATCGACTCCATGGTTGAGATCCTGACTTCCAATCTCCTCAATATCCTTAACACCCATGCTCCCATAAAAACCTCAACCTTTCGCCGTCGGCCTGCACCTTGGATGTGTCAAGAAATCAAGGATCTGCAGAAGAGGCGTGATGCTGCCCGCAGACGCTTTAGACGTACTAGGCTTACAGATGACTATCAAGCGTTTAGGGTGCTCCGCAATTTGACACAAACAAGAATTCGGCGAGCTAAAGCTTCCTACTTCCATGAAGCCCTGTCATCTGCCCCAGATCCCAAATCTAAATGGCTAATCCTTCGCAAACTTTCCCTCTGTGAACCTTCTAGATCCCCTTCCTCACTGTTCTTTTCCGTTTCACCTGACGATTTAAATTCACATTTTATTTCTGCCTCCTCTACCTCTTCTCTTCCCTCCTCTTCCAACTATGCTCCTGAGTCATCATTTAATGATGATGACTTTTATTTCTCCTACATTTCCCCGACTGACTTACTAACCGCAGTAATGAAATCCCACACCAATTCCATAGGACCAGATGGCATTCCTGTCAAATTGATAAAATTATGTCTCCCCGAAATCCTCCCAGTTCTCCTTTTCATTTACAATTTCTCCCTACAGAACTCAATATTCCCTTCCTCTTGGAAAAAAGCCATTGTACTCCCTTTAAATAAAAAGCCTAATCCATCCTCTCCCGAAGACTTTCGCCCAATCTCAATTCTTTCCAATCTCTCAAAACCCCTAGAAAGATTGGTGCAATCCCAAGTTTCCAATTTCCTAGAAAAGTCTAACCAACTCGATCCTCTCCAATCTGGTTTCCGTCCCGGCTACTCCACACAATCCGCCTTAATCAAAATTACTAATGATGTTCAGACTGCAATAGATAATAAACAACTAACTGTCCTTATACTTCTTGACTTCTCTAAAGCCTTTGATTCCATTAACCATCCCATCCTTTTCAACAAACTAAAATCACTCTCCTTCTCCAATAGCTCCATCTCTTGGTTCCAATCTTTCCTATCACAACGCACCCAAGCAGTCTCCATTCCTAATCAACCACTATCTGCCTACCTGCCTTTATCCTCTGGAGTCGCCCAAGGATCTAGCATATCTCCTCTCCTTTTTAGTTCCTATATCAATGACCTCCATGACTCAATTCTCCATTGTTCCCACCACCTTTATGCAGACGATTCTCAAATATACCTATCCTTTTCTCCCCCTGAGCTATTGGTAGCATTTACTAAGATCCAAGCAGACCTAGATCGAATCTGTGCCTGGGCAAAATTAAACGGATTAAGGTTAAATGCTTCAAAAACTCAGGCCATTGTCATTGGTTCCAAGCCCCTCCTTAGATCCTATACGGACTTTCCCATACTAAACCTTGGTGACCAGCCAATCTCCTTCTACTCCTCTGTAAAAAATTTAGGACTATTTATTGATCAAACCCTCTCCTGGAGTCACCATATTTCTCACATCTCCCGACGGACAGTCTCTACCCTCAAACTATTCCATTGCTTCCGCCATCTCCTACCTCAACATACGCGCAGACTCCTCGTTTCCTCTCTCATCTTCCCCCACTTTGACTACTGCTGTGTGGTGTATGATGGACTCTCGGTGGAGCTCCGCGACAGACTGAAAAGAATAATGAACAGTTGCGTGAGATTTGTAATTGGTGCCCCGAGATACTACCATGTCTCTCACCATTACACTGAGTTAGAGTGGCTCTTCCCCTCCATTCGAAGACAATATTTCCTAGGTACATTCCTCTATCATATCATCAACAATCATCGTCCTTCCTACGCCTACAACCTTCTCCAATTCAAGTCCTCAGTCCACTCCCTCTCCACAAGATCTCGACCTTCCGACCTTTACATTCCTTCTCACAGATCTGCCTCGTTCCAAAACTCCTTTATTGCACGTTCTGTTAGTTTCTGGAATTCCCTTCCAATCAAAATTCGACATTCTTCATCCTTATCTACATTCAAAACCCTCCTATTCCAATTCCTGTCCCAAAAACAGTCAGGCACCAGCTAATCTTTTATGTAAAATTACACATTATATATAAGACCATATTCACATATAGCTCATGACCTGAATACTTATTATAGATTCGACTTTCTTTTTCTCTTTTTTTTTTTTTTTTTCTGTTTCAACAGAAACAGATTTTACTGTTAAGAAGAATATACATTTATTTTTTCTGTATTTTTTATTTTTTCTAAAAGGGTTTATTTATATTTTAACATCGTACATAGTTTTAAATATCTTAGTATGGTTTCAAGAGTTTTTTATATAGATTTTTATATTTTATTTTGTATATAGTATGTATAACCAATATTTTTTTTCTTTTCTTTTCTTTAATGACTTATCATTATCTTAATTTGTTATGTTTGTTTTTATCTGGCCAGATGTAAAATTTTAATTTCTGTACTTTTTTGTTATTCTGAAGGGACTTCGTCCCAGAATAAAATTATTTTTCTATTCTATTCTATTCTAATATATGTATATTCATATATTATATACGGCCTGGTGTGTATAAATATATGTATAATGTGTAAATGTAAATATAATGTGTAATATGTAAATATAATATGTAATATGTAAATATGTATATAAATATAATTATATATATAATATAATTATATATGAAAATTAAGTAAAGTTTCAATAATAGGAACTTAGGGCGTGATCAAATAAATGCGTAGCTACTGCCAGGCCTTAGTATAGTAATATAGTAGACTATTTCTACTTTCTTAATTGATTTTAGTTTACATATTTTCTACATTCATGTTGGTTAATTGTTATTTATTTTATTTTTACTAATTTTTTTTGTTCAAAATATTCGAATATTATTCAAAATATATAATATTAACGCTCTGTCATTATTGGAGGGGGAATGGAGTGATCGCCCTCTCACTACCGACGTCAGTGCCTATGGTGGTATCGATGTAGTGGCGATGTTTTTTTTTTTTAAAATTAGGACGCTGATAATGTAATTTCAAAGAATGGAAGCTATCTAACCGTGTTGTTCCCATGGAAACTTGTTTATTTAAATTAAAATCAGCAAAAATAATTACACCAGCCAACCCTGCGGGATGAGGATTGTTTATGTATTTTTGATTGAGATTGAGTTGACATATGTCTTGTTTGAGCAATTGCTGTTGATAAGAATTTTTTTTTTTTGTTAGGTTATTATATATATTTTTTAACCTTTAAATAATAATAACTGGAGAAACTATGGAGGCGCTTTTAGTAGTTCCATGGCAATCGGTAAGTTGTTCACTAAGTTCTCTTATATAAAAAAAAAAAACCTCTGCCAAGTAAGGTCAGTATAGCTTCCTCACCAAATTCACCGACGGTTTCCATCAGTTAGAACTAAAGTAATTCAAGAAGAAATATAAGAATATGAATGAAGTTAACAAAATTCAGGAAATGAAGGCCTATACATATTTAAAATTTATCGATACTTACCCTTCAAATATAACTACTTAAAAAAAGATTTGAAATAAAGCCCCTTACCACTTTGAAATTTGAGAAGGAAATCGATACCAGGAGCAAGTTTGAGCAAGATTGAACTTCGAAAGGAACAAACTCACAAATATACGGTACATATAGTAAAAGGAAATCGTATGCCTAAACGAAAACTGGTGAAGGGATTCAACGAAATCTATATTGGGCCATCTAAGTTTCAACCCTCGCACTGAAAATTACATGAAATTTTTTGTAATGACAGTAGATGTCATACCAGTAATATGTAAACGACAAAACATACAGTTTAAATTAACTTTTTTGAATAGTTCAGTCTAAAATTGTATAAGTTCATAAAACAATACTAACAATACATAACCTCCCTTTCACATGATCAATGCCTTCCACATTTCAAAGCCAATATATTATTAAAATTTATTTATATTAATTTTAATTGTTGAACAGAATTTAATGAAATTGATACTAGGGAATTTCTACACTATTCTCCGCATTTACTTCAACTTTCGGTCTAATCGAACGAGCCGTTTTCAAAATATAGGCGTGTTAAAAACAATACGTTTTCAGATTCAAAAGCGGAAGTATTTTTTCAAATTATGTGATGGAATTTTCTTAAATGGGTGTCTACTTGATTATTTGTTAACCAATCCCTAACTTTCCTCCAAATTTGAGCCAACGAACATGTGGTTTTTAAGATATAGACATGTAAAATACGTTTGGGCAGATTTAAGAGAAAGCAATTGACGAAATGCAATGATATCCATACAGCATTGTTTTTTTACCAACATCTATCTTTCTTTCAACTTTGAGCCAAATCGAACGAGCCGTTTCCGAAATATTGGCAAAGCCAAGAAAATGCATGTGCGCGTGCACAAACACAAAAGTGTTTTATGGAATTTGATGAAATTGGTATGGAGCCATCTAGACACCAATCCGCTAATTTTTTTATTTTATTTCTTTATGACATTTACAACTGTATTACATAAATACATCAAGTAAATTTGGACACAGTTGATATAATGACAGGAAAACACTTGCTGAGTAACTACCCAATGGTAGCACTCTAATGATATGACTACATTAGGAGATCACGGGGCCATCTTCTTTTCAGACGCCTCGGAGGGTTATCAGGAATTGAAGAGGAAGCAAGGTTAGAAACGAGAGGGGTGGGATGATTCTGAAGTTTATTATGGAAGGATAGGTATCTGGATTGGGCCAGATCTGAAACATAAGGAACATTAAGATCTTTATGGATAATTTTATTAGTGACAAAGTAAGGAGCATTGAGGATTTTACGAAGGATTTTGGATTGTAAGGATTGGATGCGAGAGGAATTCGATGGTTTAGTGGAGCCCCATAGCTCAACTCCGTAAGTCCAAATAGGTCTTATTATAGTCAAGTATATGAGTCTTTTGTAATTAATGGGAAGTTTAGAGCGTTTGTCTAGTAAGTGCTGAAGTAATCGGAAACGTCGAGCGGTTTCTTGTCGTTTCAGTCTAGTATGAGGATTCCAAGTTAGTCGTTTGTCCAGGTGGAGTCCTAGGTATCGGATTTGCTCAACAGGGATAAGTGGAGTATTGTTAAAGGAAACTGTAGGACAGGAAGTCGTTGGTTTACGACGAAGGGTAAAGGTAATTTGGTGGGATTTATTGGAGTTTATTTTAATTCTCCAGTTTTGACACCATTCTTCTAGATTTATGATGTGTGATTGAAGCATTTGGGATGCAATTGCGGGGTCATTGTTTACTGATAGGATACATGTGTCATTGGCATATGTGGTGATGACAGTGTTGGACAGGTAGGGATGTCAGCTATATAAACTGTATAGAGGATAGGACCTAGGATACTACCTTGAGGAACACCCGCGGACTGGGAAAAAAGGGATGAATAGGCGTTATTGTGATTTACTTTAAAGTATCTATCAGTAAGGTAGGAACGGATAATGAGGAAGTATGTAGGTGGTAGGAATTTTCGGAGTTTTACAGCAGTCCCGGGTGCCAAACTCTATCAAACGCCTATTCAACGTCGAGAAAGACTCCCGTACAGTACATTCCGCGCTCCAATGCAGAGGAGACTACGTCTACCACACGATGACATTGCTGTATAGTGGGATTCTAATTTTTTTAAAATGAAAATCGGATTAACGGTAGTAGTTGATATGTCCGTTACATCGATTTGATTACAGACAGACAGACGCCGAATCAAATTTGATCTTTGATTTCTGAAAGGTAAAACGCGAGTGGAATTTTTCGATTTTGTTCACATAATTTTTTTTAACCTCCCACACGAACACAAAGTTTCTTTGCCTTCGGTAGTGAGGAAGCAAAGTTGGTGATTTGAAAAAAGTGAAGGAATGTAAGCTAGTTCTATACGTTAATAAATCAAGTAAAAATGGCTCTTCTTAATGCTTAAATTAGAATGACTATTTTAATTTATTTTATAACTTACGATAGGAGACGCTTCGGCCGTATCTTGCCCCGTCCATGATTATGGCCATGACTCACTAACGAATGTTCGTCGTTGCACGAAAGTGCTCACAACTGCCAAGAACCTCGCTGTTGTGAGCAGTTGTTTATATTGTTCCATTCATTTCTGATATCCTTAATTTTAACTATCATTCAATAAATAAAAAAATATTATTCTTTCATAATAAAGTTCAGGCCAATCTATACCCACTAGTTCCTAACTTCTCCTCCTCTTCGATCCCTGACACTAAGCTTCTAAAAAGAAGATGGCCTTAGGACCTTTTTTTTTTTTTTTTTTTTTGTACTGTTGGTATTACAAACTTCGTAGATCTTTTGCTATATTAATCGACCTTCTCCATCTGTACCTATCTTGAGGTATTTCGTTTCAGTTATCCATATGCAGCTCTATTTTATCTTCGTTGATTCTATCTATCCATCTGGTCTTTGGTCTTTCATATGCTATCTTCTATTGAGTTTTGTTATAAAAACAAAAGTCGAGTTCCGATTCGAGTCGTAAATGCTCGGCTCTAGGGCCTTTAAACCTCGAACCTCCACGGCTCGAGTGGAAAGCTCTGATGGTTCTAGCCTTGATGAATTTAACTATAAAAAAATAATAAAATTATTGTATATTTTTGTTAAAAAAATATTTTTTTCTGTTTGTTGTAACAATGTGAACATATTTTCGAAATATAAAATGAATATATTATTTTTCTGTTGATATTAACAAAGTGAATATATTTTTTAAATATAATGCTATAAAGTACTTAATTTTCCGTGCCCCGTTTGGCAATATGTTACTTTTTTTGAACTGTGGGTTTAACTCTCCCCTCCTAATTTTTTCAAAAGATGAACTGACAATATGTTTGGGTAAGTGGGTGATGCTTTGTTTAACTTTTTTTGGCGGGCGGGGAAGGTATTAACCTCCCTCTGAATTATTTTTTAAAGATAAAATGGCAATATATTTGGGTAGGTGGTTGCTATTTTTTCTTTAATTTTTTTGGGGGGAGGAGAATAATCCCTCCATTCGAATTTTTTAAAAAGGTAAAATGGCTATATATTTGTGTAGATGTGTGATAGTTTTTTCCTTTAATATTTTTTTTTGTGACGAATTATCCTTCCCCCCCTTCCTATGATTTTTTTTCTTAAAGAATGATATGTTGGAAAAATATTTTGGTAGGTGGTAGATACCTTTTACTTTTAATTTTTTTTTTTTGGGGGGGGAGGAAAGGAATCTACACTCCCCGAAATTTGTTTTTAAAATGATATAACGGGAAATAATTTAATTTGTTTCTTTTTTAAGGATAAATTCCTCAACGCCCGAACAATATGAGCCTTCAGATCCAGCTATGAATGTTCGAGGTCTAAAGGGGGCATTATGACTCGAGCCTTAAGGATTCGAGTCGGAGCTTAAGGCTTGTTTTTACAACACTAATATGATGTGAATAAATCGATCCTTATAGTCTTCTAACCGAGCTCTTTTACAACACTACCTACAGTTATAACGAAAGAACTCATCTGACCGTATGTTTTATTCATATAATAAAAAATATCATCTACTTATTCCAGAAATTACATGTCTTAATCACTAAGGATTTTGATAATTTTTTTACCCCTTGTAAAATGAGAAATTTACTTGCTTGTAACTATGACATATTAAAAGGTTGTTTACTATTTTTTTTTTTTGTTCTTAAAAGTTCAGCACCATTAAAAAAGTAATCGTGTCTATACTAATTATTATTAATTAATACATAATATAAAATTAGACATTAAAATTAAATTTGCAATCTGCAAATTTCTTAGCAATGAGCAAATTTTTTGCCAGCTTCACAGTGTCCCATCACAATCCAGGAAATAGATCAGTTTAGCAGGTCTCGTGGTCTACGTAATCGTCGAGGTGGGCTGTACGGATTTCTAGTGCTTTTAAGGTTTTCTGTCAGAGGATTTGTGTTGTAAGTTAGTCTTTGGTGAAAGTTACTGTAGTTTTTTTTTTTTTTTGCAGTGTCCAAAATTGTTGAGATGTTCAAGTCTTTATGTAATCTATCGTTTGCGACATAAAATAGTGTGCCAACTATTCTTCGTGAAATTTTTGATTGGAAAGACTGAATTTTTTTAATATTGGAAGTTTTAGCAGAACCCCGCAGTTCTATGCCATAAGTCCAAATTGGTTTAAGTAAAACTTTATAGAGAGTTAGTTTGTTAGTCAAAGATAATTTTGAACGTCTGTCAAGTAACCTAGATGAAAGAGCGTATCGTCTGTTTAATTCCATACGTTTTTGTCTAATTTTATTCAGAGCTTGCCTATGAGTAAAGCTCCGGGATTTGACTTAATTACGAATTTCATCATTAAAAATTTACCTTGGAAAGCAATCCTTTTTCTAACAAATATGATATATACTAATTAGTCTTTAAAAAAGTAATAAAACATTCTGTAAGATCTGGGTTCTTTCGTTATAAACTGTAGGTAGTGTTGTATAAGAGCTCGGTTAAAAGACTATGAGGATCGATTTATTCAATAATCCTACGTACCATTATATAACTGCGATGCACAGAAAAGAACGATCAACCTAAACAATAGACATTGTTTCAGTTAAAACTATAAATCAAGGAACCGCCAAAGAAGTCATACTACTAACAAACATCATGTACAACAGTTTACTCTATTATAAAAATCGTAACACAATATTAAAAGTTCATTAATAAACATATGGTAAAAAAAAAGTAAGGTTCTAGCCTTTCACTGACGAGCTCTTAGGACTCGAATCTTGACTGAGTCGGAAAAGCTCGAGCATTTTCGGTTTAAGCCTCATAGCCTTCTCACCGAGGTTTTTTTACAACACTACTATTGAGGCATTCATTGCTGTGTAGAGGCTGCCAGATGGATTGCTCCGAGCTATATACCTCTCCCATCTTAACCTCTTTGCCTTCATATCAAACAAGATATGACTATAATAAAACTATGAACATAAAACAATTAGTGTAATATTACTTGTGTCTCTAAATGACTGCCCATTTTGTAATTCGTCTACATGGCTAGAATGGAGTATCTGTCCACTGCCAGACCTCCGATATATGCTTATTTACAAAATATCGCTCAGCCACTGCCGCTTTAACATCCGAGGAGAATTGTATGAATGGATGGAGCTAAATTAGGATTGTGCAGGAGGATTCGGATGATATAAAATTTGGAGAATATTTTTGGGATGTGGTCTAGGACTAATGGGATATTTAAGTGATGGTGTAAGGCTTTCTTCGTTAAATAGAACGCAGCAGAATGCACTTAATACTTTGTGATAACCCAAGTTTGCGAGTAAATGATTTCTGTTCAAAGTAGAGTGGAAAATGAAACTTGTGTGATGGGCACACCAGATTTTTAAATTTAATGTTGTTTGTGGAAAACTGGTGACTGATATTGATGTTGTTTTGTACCGCAGGCGAAGTACGTATGGATGCTGATGACCCTACAGAAGTACGATTTCTACCGCGAAGTCACCCCGATGACTCGCGTCTACACCCACCTGGAGATGATCATGTTCTCATTCGCCGTCACCGTCGGAAAGACTTTCTATATCCATATACCAAGGAGTGTCCACAAGCATGGTGATCTCCTGGTGCTCATGTGGATCGTATATACGCCGATACTCTTGACAACCGGTAAGCTCATTAATAAGTTGATTATAACACAAAGTTGCACCATTAGCTTATGTCTGGTTGCTTTCAAAATCTGAATGTAAAAATAAATAAAATTATATATTTTTTTATTATTATTAATTTGCTCTACAGTCCTTAATGGACCTGGGCATCAGGAACAAGCTTCCGCCAGGCTTCCCTTTCGGCAGATATTCTTCGCCATCTTCTGATACCCATGCGGCTGAGGTCCTCCTCCACGTCGTTGATCCACCGCAGCTGGGGTCTTCCCCTAAGACGTGCTCCTCCTGGGCGGTTATAGAGAAGTTTCCTAGGCAACCTATTCTCCCTACATGGCCTAGCCATCTGAGCCGGCTCCTTTTAACAGTGGCTACAATATCATTATTTTTAAACAGCCCATAGAGCTCGTCATTTTTCCGTATCCGCCATTGGTCATTTATTTTCTTCGGACCGTATATTTTCCTTAGGACTTTTCTCTCACATTTTTCAGAAACCTCTCACTTTTCTGTGCCAGAACCCACGTTTCACACCCACAGGTAACGACTGGTCTTATAATGGTTTTATATATTGTTACTTTTTTCTTCCAGCTCAGTTCCTTGGATTTCAGTATTTTTGCCAGAGCAAAAAAACACTTTTTGCTAACTGTAATTCTGGTCTTTATTTCGGCCTGCATTTTGTATTGGTCAGTGACTATTACTCCGAGGTATTTCAATTCTATTCCCATTGGAAAGAGGTGCTGATTAATTTGAACATATTCATGCATAGCTACATTATTCCTTGAGGACTTCATGTAAAGACTTTTCCCTTCTTTTATCCTCAGGCCAAGTTGCATTGCTGTCGCATCCAATTCTTCGATAGATCCCGCAAGGAGCGACAATGTGCTAGCGCTGATAAGAATATCGTCCTCGTAAGCAAGACATTGAGTAAGTCGATTGAATATAGCCCCTCCAGGATTGGTCCTTATTGCTCTAACAGCCTGCTACAGGGCTAGATTAAAGAGGACTGGTGATATAGGGTCTCCCTTCTTCAAGCCCTGTTTTACCTGAATGCTGTTTAAGAGGACGTTTTGAATCTTGACCTCACATTTGGTATCTCTTAGCGTCATCTCTGTCAAGGCAATAAATTTTTCAGGAATTCACAGCGTCCTCATAGCTTCCCGTAATTCCTTTCTGTCTATAGAATTATACGCCTGCTTGAAATCTATAAAGACATTGATCTATAAAGACATTGATCTATAAAGACATTGAAGACTATAAAGACAAGGTGCAGATCCACGTTAGGCTCCTATGTTTTCTCTAGCATTTGTCTTACAGCAAAGATGTGATCCACTGTTGATCTATTTTTTCTGTATATATTTGTATATATTTTTTACCATTTCAGTTTGACTGGGCAACCCAACCATCCTTCTCTTCTATTATTTGAGAATGATAGTATGCGGACTGTTTTAAGTTACTAATACGTTATTGATTGCCAAACAAGTTCACAAGATAATTTCTGAATGAATATTAATACATAGATGGTTGTATAGTGGAGCCCTTTGCTTCGGTGTATGGAATTCATCTGTTTTGCAATTGCGTTCCCTCTCCAAAAACATTCCTGGATCTGAAGCTACTTTGTAATATACCATTCCAAAATATTTAATTGGTATTCATAACACCACTAATTTAGCTTATCAAATAGAAAAGAAAAATATTTATCCTTCCATTTGATTGAAACAATTCTAGTTGCTTAACACAATCACAAAACGACACCCTCTTGTCCAAATGTAAGACGAAGACGAGCTCGGTCGGTATTTATTAACTTCACGTTATATGTTGACTACAATTATTATTGCTACACGTTACTTTAGATTTTAGAAAAACACTACAGAATAGGTATATTTAGATGTTTTATTAAAATATACATAGTAATGTTCAACTAAATTAATTTGACAATATATTAAAGGCGTTATGCGCAAATCAAGTTATGAAGCTTTATCATTTGTAATATCATTTGTTATTAGTTATGAAGCTATAACAAATGATATCTTAGAAGATCCAGAACTTCGATTAATACTTCAACGTCCCTGATCCCAGTTTACTGATGAACCATATACTATTTCAGATGGGATTTTATTTCGCCAGAATCACATTGTCTTCTTAAAATAATTTCACAGTATATAGTTTATTCGGTAGTTCATACATAGCATAACATTTCTTAACATAATAAACCTCCAGCAACTTCCTCAATTTCTAATTAAATTTGATGCTACCTTTACAATCATAACGTTTTAGCTTCAAATTGTACCTGTTGTGCCGCCGAAAATTGTGAAAATTGTTCGAAATTTATTTTTGTTATTTCCTCTCATTTGAATTGATTGCTTTTACTTTTTTTTTTTTTTTTTTGTACAAATTGACAAAGATTGTTCAGAAGGGAAGTAATTATTTAGGTCACTACTTGACTTTATCCCCGTCGCCACTTTGTTATGTTGAATACAGGAAATATTCAAGTTGTCATTTAAAAGTAGAATTCTTCTTTTTTGTATCAAAGATCCCAAACAGTCATCATTCCCAATAAAACTCCTTCCACCCTCCCCCCCTCTTACTAACTCGTGGTATTCCTCAGGGATCTTTGCCATTTATATTCGGACGATCTCCAAATCTCCCTTTCCTTCCATCCTACCGAGATGCTTGAGGCGATTCGAAGGCTTCAAGAAGACAGTATTATCATAGACAGTATTAATACCTGGGCAGCGAACAATGATTTAAAATTTAATGTTGAGAAGACCAATGTCTTTCTTATCCGATCCAAGCATCAGATTAACCTTATTTCTTATTATCCTCTACTCTACCTCAATCGGATAGGTTTCCACACTTCCGTAAGAAACCTTGGGTAATGTTTGATCAACATGTGATTTGGAATAATCCCATTTCCCAAATTATCCCAAAGTCCATTGCTCCCACGTCTCCAATCGCTATGCCGAGTTGAAGGAGCTGTATCCAGTTTTCCGACGGCAATATTTCCTAGGTGTATTCCTTTTCCGAACCTTTACAACAAAAAAACCTTCTTACCTTCTTGATTTCTTTACTCCTTGCTCCTCGTTCAACACGAGATCCCAATCCTCAAATTTGTTTATTCCTTCTCATAGAGCTGTTTCCTTTAAAAAACCTTTTGTCATACGTCTAATCTCTTTACGGAAATCCTCATCCTTGACCTCATTTAAAGATAATTTATTTTTCCTCCTCCTCAGTAATCAATCTTCCGAATATACGTAAAATAAAGTAATTTTGTACTTTAGAGATGTATCCTCCTTAAATTCGTATGTCTACTTCAAGAGCATATGTTTACTACAGTGCTTTATCTTTAATATTAAGAATTTTTAATATTACAAACAATTACAACGTTCTTTATTCTAATATTAAGATTAGACAACTTTGTAAATTAATTTATTTTTTATTTTTATTTAATTATTCACAATCGCCAGACAATTGTCATTTCTCTGTTCATTGTAGTTATTCTGAGGGGACTAAATGTCCCGGAATAAAATTTACTTTCTTTCTTTCTTTCTTTTATAATACTTCTATTTGATATACGTTTTTACAATTGATAAAATTATAATAAAGTAAACAATATTCAATAATCGATCTCATGTGTTAATTCACGGATGATCGATAGATACAACAGAGCCTTTAACGAGGATATTCCATCACAACAAAGCACTTCCAAAAATGAAATCTGTTAGATTCTTCGTTATGAGTTATTCTTGTCTGGTTTTGACTACACCATTAGATTCAAGAAAGCCGAGTAAAACAAAAATCATGATTGTTTATCTCGAGTACCTGTACTCCATTCCAATGTTTCAACTGATCTTTTGACCAATGAAGAAATAGCTCAGTTATATTCACAGACAATATTTCAAATATCTACCGAACATATTAGTTATGAAGCTATAACAAATGATATCTTAGAAGATCCAGAACTTCGATTAATACTTCAACGTCCCAGATCCCAGTTTACTGATGAACCATATACTATTTCAGATGGGATTTTATTTCGCTAGAATCACATTGTTTTCTTAAAATAATTTCAACCAATTGTACTTTATGAATTACATTCTACCCATATCGAAATTACAAAAATGAACCAACCTGCTAGATGATATGTATATTGGACGAAAATAGATAACGATATTGAAAGACTGTCAAACCCTGTGAAAACGGTGCTCGTACAAGAAATAGTCCACCAAAAGCCTTGGTACGCCCATGGGACGAGCCAGAATCAAATTGGGAACGCTTGCTTATTGATTATGCCGTTCCTTTCGATAATCATAATTTTTTGTCCAAGATTTCACTAGCCACTCTTACCACAGAGACAACTATAAATCTTTTGAAAGATATTTTTTCTAACCACGGATATCCACAAGTTCTTGTCTCCGACAATGATGTTGTATTTACTAGCAAAAAGTTCAAAATATTTTGCAAAGGTGTTGGCATAGTCCAAAAATTCATCGCACCTGGACATCTTTTAACCAATGGGCTTGCTAAACGTAATGTTCAAACTCTAAACCACTCTCTTAAAGCTGCAGCCACGAACCCTAGCCCTTTACAGATCAAGATTCGTCAGATTCTTTCTAGATATCGGGCAACGTCCTTAGCAAGTGGACAGTCACCAGCGGAAGATTACCCAAATAAAAGACTTCGAATCAAACCAGAATGCATTGCGACCTAATCCTAATGCCTACAAACCATTGACTCCGAAATTCAACATCAAGAAATTCAAAGGATAGGAAGTTCAGGCACAGTTTTATTTAAACAATCGCTACGGCTGGTTATTTGGTGTTGTAAAACATAAGTTAGGTCAGCGACATTAAATAATTGAACTGGACACTGGGAGGACTCTTAAACGTCATGTAGACCAATTACGTTCAACTTTGGTGAAGAAACATTTCACTTTTATACCTAAAGAAACCCCACAGTATTTTGTAATACCTATGGCACCTGATGAGAACCAAGAGGATCGACTACGACCAATCCACCTTGAGCCACGGTGCACAGACACAAACAAACACAGACAATAAAGAAACGTTTATTGTGGAAGGACACTACAAACATAGAAGCCATATCGAGGGAGTATACATTGTTGTGATCACTGACGTCACATCTGACAGTGTTGCCAGTAACAGTGTTGTAGGTAGAATATACAATAACAAATAACATCAATGAATTAATCCTAACACTATGCAGCCGAGTGCTAAAAAAATAGTTACTTACGCTACTACGGACAGCTCAAACATGGTTTCGCCGTAGTGAGGTAAAAAGTAGTTCTTTTTTTTTTTTGTTCGTGTAAACAAAAATAAATAAATCAGTGTTACTTATAATTTAATTTTAATTAAATAATTATAAATTGAAGAGATGTATAATAATATTGAGCGGTTGACAGCTGGCTGCTTCGCGGAGATGGCCGCTCTGATGCCGGCAGTCGGCGCACACTACCACTACTGCTACAGCACCATCTGCGAGTTCGTCGCCTTCTTAGTCGGATGGCACCTCATCTTTGCCTACACACTCAGTGAGTGTTAAGTATATCTGTTACTTATCAAAACAGCACTAATTTTCTATATTGTGACTTGTTTTCCTTGAGGGTTTTCCTTAAGTAGAGGAAATATTTAAAAGGATGATAAAACTACGGTATGAGCTTTAGACCACACGATAGATTGATAATATAAAATATACATTTTTTTTTGTTCTATATTCACAAAGTAATAACATTTACATTTATATATGTATAATTGTGCATAAGTTACTCTAGTAAACTCTGACTTATCATCATTTGTACCATATTCTAAAAATGATAAATATGTTTATGAAAACTAAAGTATGGGATGAATACTTTTGATTGAAATATATTCGCTAAATAGGTTACTAAAATTCCGCCATTTTTAAAATAAAACTTCCATAATGGGCGTCAGTAATTTGTCGAAACTATCGAATCGAATTAAAAAAACGCTGCAAATTATTAAACAATGGTTTATTATTTCCAGACAATTATACATCTAAAATAACATTACTTTCATAGTTACAAAGAAAAATAAATAAAAGGTGATTCCAATTATTAGACTAAACTTTTTTTTTTAATCATTGGTAATATGCTAAAAAAAATAGGATTACATCAGTAACATATTCAAAATTTAAAAACCAAACAAAAGATATAACATTTGGAGTAGAACATATTTTTAAAAAAACGGAGACCATATCTTTGCTCCTAATGGTCCGATTTTAACGATTTTTTTTTTTGTCTTTTAGGAAATTTCGTAAACTTTTAAAAAAACATATACATTATCGACAAAAAAGTGTAAACTTATCGAGTTATTCGGAATTCAATTTTCCCATCCCTCGTAACTTTTTTTCCAGCTTCTTTTCGTTGAAGTATGTTATATAGATAAATTTAAAGGGCGTCAAGAAAATGACTTTAGCGAAGTTTCATTTAAATCGGTACATTCATTTAGGAGCTACAGTCTATAGCAACGCAGGTTTTTCGGCCGCCATTTTGAAAAAGTAAAAGGCGGATGGTAATGTTGATGAAGGAGGATCATCCTCGGGTAACCTCTGATTTTATATCCAAATTTGAAAAAAAATCGGTCCAGTAGTTTCGGAGAAAATGCTCGGACGGCGGACGGACAAAAATGGTTTTATTTTTTTTGCTAATTCTACGCATCCTGAAACGTGAAACCTCAAATTTTGAGAGAGGGTTAAGTTTTTGAATTTTTCGGTCGATCACAATGGTTGATTATTGAAAATAATAAACCAAAAATAATTACTAATTGATACATAACATACTGTACCCCAGAAATAAAGAGAAAATTCCCAATTTGATAAATAACTTCCGAGACGCAACGCAATCTTTGCAGTGTAACAAATAATAAATGTTCAGAAAGCAATGACTCTGCACTAAATTGTCCGATTTTGATGATTTTTTTAACGTTTTGTAAGGATTTCAGTAAGGTTTCAAATACTCACATGTATAATAAACTGAAAATTGCATCCATTTCGAGTTATTCCTAAATTATGAATTCATTGAAAAGGTACCATCATATGGTTTGAAACCTCCCAGTTTTACATTCACGTTTTAGTTACGAGGTCGGGGGATGATGGAGATAGAATCTCCAGTATCGACTAGAAACTTGCTTCGTTCTCGTATCCGATACGAATAGGCGGCGTTGGTGTTACAACGGCGTTTTAGTAGAATTTGTTTATCTTTATTCTCTGGTATCTTTTTAATATTTTTTGAAATATATAATCTTACATTAAAGTGGCGATACCCGACGAGATTAAAAATGACGAGGGCTGATGAAAAAACTCTAAATGAAACTGAACCACCCGAGGAAATGAACCCACCTCAGTAACTTACTGCACAACCTACTTATTATGTGTTAAGAGGTATAGAAGGTCCAGCAAATACAACATCTTCATTCTATAAAACTAAACCTGTCCTATGGTTTCTCAAAGTTGATGCTATTTTTTCCACTTCAAAAATCACTTCATTACAGAAAAAATTTCAGCTGGCAGTAGCAGGACTTGATCAAGAGGTTCTTACGCAAATAGCATACCTCTTTAGTTTACAAAGCCAGGATCCTTACGGTCTAATGAAAGAGTTTCTTATTTCAACATATGGCGAATCAAAAAACCGGCGAATACAAAAGCTGCTATAGGGCACTCAGCTGGGGAGTCAAAATCCTTCACAATTCTACCGCTAGGTGATGAAATTGGCCGGTTCTATAGTCAGTAGGGAGGTTGTACGAAATCTATGGATGCGGAACTTATCGATTTGAGTGCAGCAAATTCTTCTTGCAACCAAACAAGATGACATCGACAAGATGACCACAGTTACCCAGAAACGCATACAATCTACACCCATGCCATCTCCATCTATACCATCGCCACAGTCAACCGTTTCAACCGACTCATTGTATATAAGTCTGTTGGAGGAGTTAAGAGGCCTCCGTCACACAAATTGGCATCGACGTTCCAGAAGCAGGCGTAAGCCAGCCACCAGACTCTGCTACTTTCATAGACTATTTAAAGGAGAAACAAGAAAGTGTACGCAGTCCTGCTCTTGGCCTTTAAACAAGTACGGTCGACGAACCAAGTGGCAGCCGTCGCAGCCCATCGTCAACGCCGCCTATTCATATCGGATAAGAGAACGATGCAACAGTTTCTAGTCGATACTGGAGCTTCTATCTCAAACTTAAACGTTTAATGAATTGCTCAATCCGCTTTATCTTCGGGATCTCAAGGGATACGCATTTTCCCCAGTTCTGCACCAAGTTGAAGAGGCTTTATCCGTCCTACCGCCGTCAATATTTCCTCGCTACCTTCCTATACCGAGCCATTACAACACGGCGACCTGCCTATATTCTACAGATCCTACAATTCAAACGCTCCTTTTAACCCCGTCCCACCAGATTCCGTGCGTCCGACCTCTATCCTCCTCCTCACCGAATAGCTGCATTTGATAAATCCTTTTTAATACAAGTTGTCTCCCTCTGGAACTCTATACCTTCAGATATTCGACACGTAAAATCGATATCCTATTTCAAATATCTCCTCTTCGAACACCTACTCCATTCCCAATCCGATTGATCAAAAAATGCACTTAAAAACCTAAGCTGTAAAAACCTCAAAGTACACCCAGATACTTTGATTATTTTGTAATTCATCGGTATTTCTTTCACTTAATTACTTTCTCTGTATATTTTATATTTACACGTATTTATATATTTTTATCATTTATAACTTTATTGTACTCCGAATCAACCTGTAAATATTAAATTGTATTTCATGGACACACCAAAATATTAATATATATTCTGTATTTGTGATTTGTTCTCAAGGGACACTAGTTCCAGAATAATAAAATTATTTTCATTCATTTATCATTCCCTGACCTCGTAACTTCAAAGGCCAGACCAACAAATATAAATTAGTTGCGCCGAATAACAGCCCTATTAAGACTTATGGGAAAATAAAGCTTTACCCGGACTTCGAGGTCAATCGAGGTGTATTCTGTTTTAGAGACATATTCTTTACACCATATCAAAATTTCATTCTTCAGTTCTACCGTTAAATGAAACGTCAAATGTCGCCACTTTAATTTAAATTGTCGTATGTAGAGAAACGGCTTTTTACCAATGTCTGAAGTTGTGAGTTCAGATGAGGTTTATCTACAATTTAAAATGGTTACTATCTGTATGGTTTTCAGTTAAATGAGATGATCGGTAGCTCCTTGTCCATAACTACCTATTCGAATAGTCTGAGATGGAATTCAGCTTAAAAAAAAATATAAAAAATAATATCTCCACCATTTTTCAGCAAATATAAAAAACAAAACCTTTTTTTGAACATTCCTCTTGCTTATGACAACGAAAAACATGAGAAACATTTTTTTTTTTTCTCAATAGTTTCGAAGTTATGATGGATGACAGAAGTAGAATTAAGAAGATTTATTTTTTTTTTAATTCAAAAAGATCAATTAACAGCTTGTTTATAATTTTTTATCAGGTGAACTTCAATAGAATCTAAAATGAGCATCCTTCCCGATTATATTAGTACTTGCAGAATTCAAAAATGATTTTTTTTTTTTTTTACTGAGATATGAGAAAAAACATAACATAAGACAGAAAGTTCTAGGTGGCCATCTTAGACCTTCCATTTTGGATAGAAGTGACATGCGATTTGAGGGGACATTCCATGGTTTGTTCTGTATTCAATGAGGAACTAGCCCCCAAATTTACAGCCAATAATGAATTTTTTTAATATCGGCCTTGTTTTTTGGCTATATTTACTGGGCTATATTGTTTGTATCATTGTTCTTACTATGTTTTTGTATCGATAAATAAGGTTGAAAATTACAAAAAACGTACTTAATAGCTTAGATTTATCAAAAATGTGCTTAATTTTAAAAGGAATTTATCTCAAATGAAACCTAATCCTATCATTTTAATCAATTATTAATTACCAGTCAAAACAGAAATTGTTTACACCGTTGTATTTGTCTTTGGGCACCTCTGAAATCAAAACTTCTTATAATTCTCCTCTAAATAGACCTACTATATACTGTAGTATATTCTTACGATTGATTAAAAAAAATTGACCATCAATTTTTCCACCTAGATTGTTCATTCGACCGATTGTGCATCGGTTTGTGGCAAAACGTTCATTACCTCAAATAATTAAGAACTTTGATGATTTTTCCTCAGTGAAATTGGAAATTTTTTCTCTTATGTTATAGTAAATTAAGTTTTGTGTCATTTCCATGCATTTATTGTTATTATGATTTTTTTAAAAAGAATAAATAAGGTCATAATTCACAAAAACATACTTTAAAATTAACTCATATCAAACGTATACGAGAACCTATTGCAATACTGTTGCATCAGTTTGTCCTCGGAATGGTAAGTCACCTTCGTAGCTCTATAGCATTAATTATAAACATTCAAGACGGGTTTCTCAGTAGTCTAGTTTCGATAGTAACAATTTCCATCTCCATATTATTATCATTATTTTAATTTTAATTTATTCTAGCTATGTTCGCTAGTTTTCCCATTGTATTGTACAATACAAAGGTAATTCCTATATGAGTTTTCTGATTAAATTATTTTTTTTTTTTATATGCAGTGACCTTGAGCAAATGTAAATTTTTGAGTGAATTTATTGATCACATTTTTCTGAACGGGTGGATCTCAAGAAACCTGAAGTTTATGGACAGGCAGACCTTCTGGTTCATCAGCATTCCTGGCTATGTGGATATCATTAGCGCGATGCTTGCAATCTCCATGGCCTGTAAGTTTAATATATATAATAAAACGAGAAAAATTAGAGGTAAAGGAGGTAAGTTGATGGATTGGCCGTGTGAATAAATTAGTATTAAGTAATAAAAATAATAATAATACATATAGCACTTCTTGGTTGTTCTGCAGTAATGAATTTCTTCTGTGTGTGGGCCATATATTCTTCTTTGAATCATTAAGAAGAACTTAGGGCCATAAAAAGGGAACCTACCATGGTTTCCTGCATTAAAAAAGGAAGAATTTATTGGATTTGTTTATTGGATGGATGAGAAAAGACTCCCAAATCAAATAACGGAAGGACGGCTAGATGGAGAAAGAGGGTGAGGCAGGCCTAGATTATGACGGACGGACAATGTAGAGGAAGACCTGAATTCACTGGGTGTGAGAAATTAGAGAGAAGCGACAGGGGGTCGGTCTGAACGGAGGAAAATTGTTGAGGGTGCCAAGGTCCTTCATTGGTCATAGCGCCGAAGTAAGAAGAAGAATATTACTTTTTATTTGTATCCATTTAGATATTTACAATATTCACACTATACATGGGCGGAGTGGCCGAATGGGCTAACGTGTGTGCACAGCACCGCCGTTGCCTGACAACCTGATCCATGATACAATAGATTTTAAATAGTCAATAGTTCGAGTCCTGGTGCAGGGGAGCCTTTTAAATCACCACCCACACCCCCTGGCCCGAGAAAACCCCGTATAGCCAAAAAAAAATAATTCACACGAAATTTTCATACAAAACACGTTTTTTTTTTATCTTTATTTCCTTTCATACTAGACTGAAACGATAAGAAACCGCTCGATGTTTCAGATTACTTCAGCACTTACTAGACAAACGCTCTAAACTTCCAATTAATTACAAAAGACTCATATACATGACTATAATAAGGTCTATTTGGACTTACGGAGTTGAGGTATGGGACTCCACTAAACCATCGAATTCCTCTCGTATCCAATTCTTACAATCCAGAATCCTTCGTAAAATCCTCAATGCTCCCTACTTTGTTACAAATAAAACCATCCATAATGACCTTAATGTTTCTTTTGTTTCAGATCTGGCCCAATCCAGATACCTATCCTTCCATAATAAACTTCAGAATCATCCCAACCCTCTCGTTTCTAACCCAATCTTCCTCTTCAATTCCTGATATCCCTCCAGACGTCTGAAAAGAAGATGGCCCAATGATCTCCTAATGTAGACATATAATTAGAGTGCTACCATTGGGTAGTTACTCAGCAAGTGTTTTCATGTCATTATATCCATATGTTAAAATTTACTAGACGTATTTATTTAATACAGTTGTAAATATCATTAAGAAATAATAAAAAAAAATCTTTATTTTTTAGCTGGCATAAGCCTTTTCTTTTGCAAGAGGGCAGAAGCTACAATATTTTCCAGCTTAATTTATTTTCCATATAATTTTATTTTGAACTTCTCTCATCCACGTAGTGCTCCTTTTTTTTAACTGAAATTTACAACTCTATTAAATAAATATTTCTAAAAAATGGAAAAATTAAGATAATAATTATGATATGAATCAGATAATGATAGAGATATTAATAGACTTGTTGAGTTACTACTCAATGATAGCACTCCCTAAATAGTCCTAAGTAAGAAGATCTCGAGGCCATCTTTTTTTCAGACATCCACAAAGATTATCAAGAGTCGAGGTAGGAGCAAAGGCAGAAACGAATAAGTAAGTTTGGATGGGACTGGAGTTTATCATGAGAGGGTAGGTATTTGGATCGGGCCAAATAATCAACATATGGAACATTAAGGTCTTCATTAATGATTTTATTTGTGAAAAAATGTGGAGCATTAAGAGAAATTGGTTGGGGATTACAGTCATTAAAAGTATATCAATATATATATTTTATGTTTCAGGCCTGTGTTAAATAACCTGTATATTGTTTTACTGTAATATTATACCTTCATACTTTAAACACACACAATTTTGAAGGATACAATAACATTTGCCAAAATACGTGAAAAAATTGGTATTCATGGTTACTTTGAGGTGCAAAAATGAATATCAGAATTGTTTCTCCTAAACAAAATTTTAACCCCCCTTACCATCCATCCCACCAACCCGTCGGTTGGTTGAAATTGTTCTCATACTGCATTTACCTTCCAAATTTTTTATTTTTACTTTCACTTAACTATATATCGAATATATAGTAAGGGAAAGTATTGTGATCGTGAAAATTTTCGAATCCGAGTTTTCAACGGAAATACATGACTTGAGATTCAAGTAACCAACGTAAGATAGTCCAAATAACCAACTCACGAAAAATGATCTGTGGGTATGTGAGCAGTCTAGTTCAAAAACGAAAAGTCGTCGAAAACTGATATTACGTATTTAAGATAGGTATATGCCTTAGATGTGACAGCAACTTTTTCCTTAAAGTTGGCTAACTGGAAGTGCCACTTTATATCAAGGGTGAAACAGTTTTAAAATTTTCTCAAAAAACGGCTCAAACAATTTTGATTAAACTCGGTATATCATTGTATAATTAAGTGTTCTTTAATATAATTTAGGTCTTATACCCATAGATATCACCTTACAGAGCTTAAATGCCCAATGTTCATATACATCTTCCTCTATAGTACCTTTAATATGTTTTTTTTTTTTAAATGATCTTTCTGTTTATTGAGAGTAACTTTTAAAAAATATGTAAAAATGAAGTTTGAAATAATATGATAATTGGAAACTGGAGAAAAAAGAAATGCTTATCCAGGTTGAAAATGAATCTCCCGTAATGACAGTCAGAAGATATACTAGGAACTAGGAAAGCAGAGAATTTTAGAAACAATAATATCAAATAAATAAAGTTGTAGACGGTAACACAGAGTGACAAAAAAGAAAATATAAATAATATTTTCGGAAAATTAACATTATTTAATGTAATTCATATGTTTCCAATGAAATTAAATGTAATTTTCTAACTAAATGTAAACTTTTAAAGTTTTTTCTAAGTTTGAAAAGAAAGAATTTAAAATCCATCGAATAAAGCTTGTTTAAAATACTATTTCATTGTACTTGTGTGAAAGAAGAAGTGAAATATAAAAATATTTCATGGGCATATTTATAACTTCAAATATATTTACTATAGAGTATTACCTCTAGATAAGATATTATATTTAAATAATTAGATATCTATTGGCCGTTTAATTCCAAAAACTAATCAAGTAACCTTTTATATAATTAAATTAGTGAATAATTTGATGAATTTTCCCTTTGTGAAATCCCAACATTATCCACTTACAATTAGTGTGACAACTTTTGACCTATCTATGGCAGGCAATGAAAATCTCGCAATTTCATTTTAGTAAACTTTACAATAGAAAATAACAGTGTAATAACAAATAGTCCTTCAATCGATAATCATTTATTGATTAAATATTTAGATATAAAATACCTTCAAATCTTTCTAGGCATATATGAGCCTTTCTGTTGACAGAATGCCTATCTCCAATTTCAACATTCTTTGTTATTTGTTTTAGTGATTTTTCTGGCAATTTTTGGCAAAATTTATACCTTTATTCACAGTTCTATATTTCAACACTGCAATAACTTGTTCTGGAATCAACTTACACACTGTCTGTATAGATATGACTTTTCCAACTAGAAATATTACTAAAATGGCATTACTCAAAAATATTGAAATTGGAGTTAGTCAATCTGTCAACTGAAAGGCTCAGAGACTGAAGTTGTTTGGTTTATTAAAGCAGATGGAGTAACTAGATTTTTATTGCTACTGCCGATATAATAAATAGACTTTTTGAAATTTTAATGGTCGTAATGATTTGTTATATGTAAACTTTAAGCATTAGCTCCGTTTAAAATGCACTTCAAAAATTTTATAATAACCCAACAATGCCAGAAAATAATTTCTATTCAAAGTAGAGCGGTAAGTTAAGTCGTCTGTTGCGCACAACAAATTTTTTCTATATGTTATATAGAGTAAATGTTTTGAAGGGAGAAAAAAGTTGGTTTGCTAACATGTTTGCTTAAAATTATATAAAATATATTTTTTTCGGCTCCTGTGACTCATTGAAACTAAAACGAAGCCATGTGTCTAATATTTTTCGATGTACTATTTTCGAAAAAAAAATTGGTCTAAGTCAGTGACCCCCTGTCTGTAATCTTCCCTTTCAAGTTTAATTTCATGGAACATTTCCATTAGATGCCGGCAGGTTCTACGAGTTCTTTAAAACCCGTAAAACAAATTATTAAATTAATTATTAAATAATAATAATAAAATATTCAATTATGATATCATTGATAATTAACCATCCCTTCTGTTCTGTACCAACCATTTATTAATATAACTTATGTTTAACTAAAAAATTGTTTTCAGTTCAGGCGTTTTGGGCTGTGAAGTTCACGAAGAGCTTCGTCAACATCTTAACAGCCATCGGCATCATTATTATCTTAACCCATATCGTCGCCTTCATGGCCAAGATGGACTTCAACCACATCAGCATTGAAGACACAAGTGGAAACGAGAAGCTCATAGATACTATGTATGTAATCCACGGGGCCTTGGTCGGCTATGAATCTCTCAGTGTTTTAGGTTTGTATTATCAGATATTCAATAAATTATGAGAAATAAAGAATACCTTGAAAAAAAAAATATATATATATATATCATATATATAGCAATATTGTACAACTTCCACATAGTACTCGATGTTAATTATAAATAGCTGTTTTCATATTTAGTGAAAGTAAAAAAATGTAAACAATATAACAGCTTCATTTAAAAAACTTATTTAACGTAAAAATTATTGTGGTAGAGTTCAAAATAACAGCTTCATTTAAAAAACTTATATAACATAAAAATTATTGTAGCCGAGTACAAAATAATAAAAGAATTATAGATTAAAGGAAATACACAAATGTTAAAAAGAATCGCTTGTTAATAGACAAATTAAAAAAAAAAAATTATCATTGGAAGTTGGTTGGAGTTTGTGGTCAGAGGGAACACAAAATAAAATATTCTTTTTTAAAAATTTTGTACCGATGCACAGCGATAGGAAAAGGCATAAAACGGCAAAAATTCTGGGAAACTTTTAAGTTAAGCAAGCTATGTGAAAATATTTTATAGCATGTCAGGTTTTATGAATTAACATAGGGTCCAATCTATTTGAATTAATTTTGTTGCTCGACATTTTAGATTTTTATAATTTTTTTTATCAGTTAATCTATATTTATATGAGAATTCAAGACCATAGTTATAAATTTGTAAGGCTCACAGTTTTTTCTCCATTTTTAAATTTATTTTCGACAAAAAACATATTTTGGGAAAATGTCTATAACTCTGGTAATTTTGTAAATATCGAACCAAAATAAAGACTGGAATTATGAGTGTCTTGTATACATTTCTGTTTATCAATGAGACAATTACCAACCAAAAAATGAGACAATTAGCGCTAACTCAGACATTTCAAAACAAAACAAAAACTAAAACTTTGATGTTTTGTTCTAAATTTTTTGTCCTCACAATATGTCACCTATGTAGTTGGGAAACTTATTAAAAAATTGATAACTATAAAATGTAAATTAGCTTAAAACGAGACCTTCATTTTGGGGAGGGAGAGGAGGTGGCTTCAGCCTGCGTTTTTTTTTTCATATATATTAAGATAATTACTTCGGGGAAAAAATAAAGATACTATCTACCTATATGAAATTATGTTTAAGTGATTCTTGAAGTCCTATTAAATGTAATTACACGAATAATATTATTTTATGACATAATTTTTTAACATTTTTACCATAAAATATGGTTACATTTTACAATTTCGAGGAGCTTCAGCTCGAAGCTCCCCTTCTCCCTTCCTGTAGATCCGCCTGTGGTAACAGTGTAATAATGAAAAGATTCTCAAGTTTAATTATTTTATCATATATAGTCCTACCACTGTACTACTTGCTGATAAATTTTCCATCTTGAAAACCTTATGCTGTTTTAGACATGAATTTACAAAAACGGCCAAAAGTCATTTTCAGTAAATTTAAAATTTGAATATCATAAAAGGAACTGATTGGAAAATTATGAAACTCATACAAAATAATTGGATAAAATATTACAAACTGGAACTCAACCGGCTCCAGAGTAATATTTTACCCAACATTGCATTATTTAAACGATAAATCAACATTCTGCAATATGGAATTAGGGCACTCAATTGAATTTTTATTTATCAATACACAATTGCTGCGGCAGGTATATAATTTTTCGCTCGATACAGCTACTATCACATCAACTGAGATAAATAAGTGCCACAATAATTGAATGTCACTTTAACATCTTTATCCAGTGTCTTCCTTACTGTGTCTTTGTTTCAACTGCCTCCTACAGTGCTACATGCTACACCCTGAAGACGATCTGCAAAGTGGGTCGAAACGTCGGCAAAAATTAAATAATTACTATATTTTAATTTAGTACTTATTTGACCGCACCCTCCGATTAACTCCTTCTCATATTATATCAACGGTCAACCATCTCTACACCAAATTATTTGTTGTTTTTTTTTTTTTTAATCTCAATGATAATATGGAACCACAGAGAAAATGACTACTATAATAATTGCACCTACTGGCACGATTTTACTCAATGTGAATTCTCTGTTAATGATAAAACCTACATTCTATGAAATTTTCAGCTACATTGTTTCCGGTTAAATCAGTCCTCTAATTTTGAATTTATATATATGGTTGTATGAATGTGTTCATATCTCAATATAATTATTGTCCATATGACAGATTATTATATTTCTAAATAAATTAATAAAAAAATTTGAATTTGAATTAGTTTTTAGCTGCATGTCCTTCAGTTGAATGAAAATGGAGGTAGCTTTCAGACTATGATCTGATGAAGTGATTAATTGTATGTTAATTCAACTCTGCTTTCTTAAATATTACATGAATACTTAATTGTTATTATTTCTTTTCACTTTAAAATAATAAATGTTGTGATATTTATATTTTAATTTATATCAATTTGAGCATGTATAATGGCAAATTCAGGGGAAGAATCAAAGAACCCGACTACAACAATACCATTGAGCATCATGAGCTCCGTGCGATTTGCAATGGTCCTCTACACTGTCTATACTTTCTGCATATCCATCTGTGTCAAGAAAAATGCCGGTGTCGATCTAGTAGGTTGGAGTTCGGTCTTTATCCAACTTTTCACGGTAATAATACTAGTCTGTAATATTTAAGTTGTAATGTTTCAGGATGAATATAATCCACTTGGGAGCATAGTCATTTTATTGGATATGCCCTGGTTGTATTGGATTTCAACACTCGGCACGATATGTAGCCTCTGGGCTAGGTGAGTATCATCAAATTTGAATCTAAATTTAAATTAAATGTTCTACATAGTTTATACAGCTTACAAGCAAATCCTTCTTAACACTGTTACCAACACCTATGGTGACGAAATATTTGTGCTATCAGTGAATAATAAACAATTTACTGCAATCCAAACACTGAAATCAATCACAATTGCGTAATCAAAATTTTTGAGGGAGGCATATTTCGATGGGTTTTTGAAATTTTCGGACTAAGTGACAATGGGAAAACATGTGCAACAAGTGTAATTTTATATAATCTACGATTTTTTCTAATTCTACCTTAGCTTACTCTGTATTAAAGAAAAGGTGAGCAATAAAATATCTTAGGAGGAAGGGGTAGGTTTTTGCGCCATCGACGTGATGGGGACGATGGGCACCCCTGTCACACAGGATAAACTTTGAGAAATGTCCAAATTGGAGGATTAAATTAAATCCTACAATTCCCATCAAATCACCTTTATCCTTTGTCATAACCTATGACTTCCGTAATCATCAGTATCATTTAATAATATTCCACTTAAACCCTGCTGATTTGATTAGCTACGTAGGACTCCACCTCGGCAAACGCCTCACTTCGGCGTTTTCAACTGCTCCAATAATTTCCTAACGAATATCGTACTCTCATATGGAAATATATTAGGCTTATTACTTCCTTTCACCCATACACGAATGCCTCGTGGTGTAGGTATTTATCTCCAGCGACGAGTAGAGATAAATCTTCTTCGTTGATACTGTGCTCCTCATTAGCTTGACCCTCAGTGCTTTATATGCAGTGCAGTTAGTGATCATATGTTTGGAAGTTTCCAGAATAGCACAACTGGATATTTTGTCCAAGACTGTATAGCTAGACACAAAAATTCTCATGTCCCGTGAGGAATTAAGAGACCCGATAGTTTACCCATCTGACTGCTAGGCTATACTGGACAGTGGGAAAATATTTTCTTAGGGTATCCCCCTTAGTGTTAGTGACCTACCGCTTATTCCATTCTTCGACAGTAGCTTCTCTTAATGGCGACGTCCATCTATTGGACCTCTCTCGAAGGTCCTTCGAAATCTTTGCTGAGCCTTTTCTCTTGTAGGCATGTTTGATGAAATATTTTAGCAGAAGGAGATCGAGAGGTATCTATCCTGCAAAGACTGTCTTATGTGTGTCTTGTGCTCTGTTATGTGAACCACAATAGAGCCGTCCTCTGGATGTATGCTAACTTGCTCTTCTTTCGGTTAGAAATGTTCAGGTACCATGAGGTACCATGCATCATACCTTAATATACCCAGCACCACTCCTTTGTAGATGGACTTCATCACTGGGTATCCAAGGCCCCAGAAGGCACCACCAACAAGACTGGACCATTTAGGATGACTGTCACTCTCCTTGATATGCAGTCCTAGTAAGGCGTTATATTAAACTTTCTTCTAAATCTTACGTCAAGGTAAGTTACCACCTTACTTGGACTAATCGTTTCTCTCTGGATATCCAAGACAATATGATGTTCCCTCTCAGTTGTGCTCCTTAATAGGATTGCTTGGGTTTTTACATAAACCATCCCCATTCTCCTACTCACGCACCAGGTTCCTATTAAGTTAGAACATCTTTCTGCCTTCAGTATGACCTTTTCTCTCCTACTGGATGCCATAACAATTTCATAATACACCCAAAGCTCGCCGAAATCTTAAATTCCACAAAGCAGAGCATCCTTCTTTGGCAGTTCTCTATATCTCTAACCATCACACGTCTGTCCTGTAGGCAGCTTCTTAGAAGAGCATATAGGTTGCTAGGGTATCATATCTCTGTAACTGTAGAACGCACGGCCAACAGGCATTTTCGAAAGCGGATGACATATATTGTCATAACAAAGAGTAACATCATAACATACCGCTCTCTTGTTTCTTTAGTGTCTCTTGCGCTTCCTTTACCCTTAGTGGATCCGGATTGCCGTGGATGACTCGCAATATTAAAACTGGTCGTAGACTGGTTGATATGAGACTCTCTAGAACTTAGCTCATCACAAGGAGACATATAGGTCTATATGACTTAGGGTGTTGCCTATCTTTCTCTTCTTCCTTCTAGAGCCGTCTCAAATCTCCACTGGCCCTTTCCTGGGGAAGTATTCTCTATTCAAACAACCATGTCTTGAAATACTAGAAAATTGCAAGTAGTTTCTCTTCAATAAATAGGATACTACTCTTCAAGATTACAGCATGGCATCTATGGCATCTAGCCTCGGAGCTCGACTAGGCTTAGACAGCACAACGTAGATACCAGATATCTCATGGTGGGCACAAGTCCGTACCAAGTAGGTACATCGTGGTATAACTCACAAATGCTTCTTCATCGTTATCCAGTGATGGATCATCCATAGGGTATGTTGCTTCAATATTGTTTTTTTTTTAGTTCTTCTCTACCTTGCCATTTAGGCTATATGGGGGTTTCCCCAAACCAGGAGGTAAGGGCAGGGTATTAATGCTGTAGTTAAAGGACCCTCTGGCCACCGGGACGCGAACTCATAATTTTATTGTCTCCAACTTTGCGAATAATCAGGTTTCCGGAGAATGAACAGTGCTTGCATACGTTAGCCCTCTCGGCTACCCCGCCCCTTCTCTTCAGGTGTACTTGCCTGCTTTAAATAAAGTATTTCTCTCTCACTTAAGAGACTCTACTGTCTGCAATGATCTCAGTTTTTCCATAACCACTCTGTATGAATTTCCCTAAGGATTCTTTAAAGATGCATTAACCATGAGATTTTTTACCCTTACTTGTCTTTTAGATTAGAAGGTTTTTTTTCTGGGACAGAGGATGAGGGAGGCAGATTAATGCTATAGTTGAAAGACCCCTGGCACCGGGACACGAACTCATAATTATTTCATTGTCTGTATCTTAGTCATCAGGTTGTCGGGATGGCATTGTGTTCGGAACTCTTCTCAGATTTGAGAGTCCAGTAAACAATATACTTTGATAAAACTAGAGAAATCATGGTCACATCGATCCAACTTAATGGCGACGCACATCTATTGGACCTCTCTCGAAGGTCCTCCGGAATCTTTGCCGTCAAGGTAAGTTACCACCTTACCTTACGCTTTCAACAATGCCTGTTGTCTGCGCGTTCTTCAGTTATAGAGATATGATACTCCAAAGTTCAAGAGAACATAGGGGTAGTGGAGGGATCATTAATAATGACAAGCTGATTCCTAGCAATGAACTCTTTTACCTTCGCTCCTCTAGTATTGGACCCCAAAAGTTTACTCCAAGAATTGGTGTCTAAGCAAGATATGATATTTTTTTCTACCTTCATCATGTAGGTTAGCTGATACTAGGGCTTACCATAACCCGCCATGGTGGCTGACTCAGCTCTATCAGTACGAGTTTAGGGTTATTAACCACAATGGATACCCTGGGACTCCTCTCTCCACTGCTATTAGCTATACTCTCAACGTGGTACTAAATCCTTTGACCACGTTTCCATGTCAGCATGGTTCTTATCCTGGAGTGAGCTGCAATTACTGACTTCTGAAGATGTCGACAAATCCATTTTTTTTTTCTTTCATCTCACTCACTCATTTCCTTCCTTTATCTACTCTTTACCAACTCAAAAGCTCTAATCTACTGGTTTTTCATTGCACATTGTGTCCATTTCTCTAATTTCTTTAGAGGACCCATCACTTGCTGGTCGTTACTCCTTTTTCTTTCAAATCAGCTTAGCCATAACACCAGCCACAGCTGTATCTACAATGTTTTTGGCAACAATCTTCTGGCATACTTCTGAAATGCTAATAAATCTTTAACCACCATATCTCCAAAGGATTCAGAATCAGTATCGGTATCAGACGGGGTTGTAGTTTATGTTCGCTCTTTTTTATAATTATCGCACTACACTTCAACTGTCTCTGCAGGTTGGAAATAAGTTCTCTAAAAGAAAAAAAAATCATAAAATAAAAGTTATAGAGCGAGGGTATTCAAAACGAGGTCCATGGCGTAAGCTGCTCCATCAACATTTTTAGGGGCCCATTTTGTCGAGGTTTTCAATTTTCGAGGGGCCACATTTTGATGTGATTATGAAAAATTTCAACTAAAACTTCAGAGAAAAATATACCGGACCACAAGTGTAATTGAATATATTAGGGGCGGGGTGAGCGAATGGGCTAACACATGTGCACAGCATCCCAAGTTTCTCGGCAACCAAGTTTTGAGATTAAAAAAAAGTACGAGTTCGCGTCCCAGTGTCTTAGGCGATATTAAATTCCCCGTCCTCACCCTCCGGCTCGGGAAAATCCCGTATAGCCTTAAAGATGAGGTATGAAAGAACAAGAAAAAAAAATGTGTAATTGTATATGATCTGTGACTTTCCTAATTCTACTTTCACATGCTCATTTTTAAATTTAAACCAGGGGTTCTGAGATTGTAGACAAGGTGCGTTTTACACAGAATAACATATACCTTCGTAATTGACAATAGAAGAAGTCGGAAGATCTATTTCATTGTCCGCCGACCATTTTCAGCTGTTTTTTAAAAACGCCAGCTTTTTTCAACTTACTCAATCTTAATCCCATCTAGGTCCAAATCCCATCTAACATGGATTGAGGTAGGTCATATATCTCTTAAAATTTTATGTTTCTGTTATATATTATAAACTTTTTCGACATAGATACTGCATTGTACAAAACACAAAATTATTTTAAAGACGAAAGAAATCGCGTATTTTTTGTTTTATGGTGTGGATTTTCCATTCAATTTTTATTGCATGCTTGAGGCGATGATGTAATGTTTTAAATAACGTTTTTAGTTTGTTTTTATGAGTATGTGCGAAGCCAAGATTAATCGATAATGTTCAAAACTTCACATTCTAATTAAATTATACTTACAGGGTTTTAAGGTGTGGCTGTCGATATATAATAAAAGGATTTATTCATTTAGGATAATTATAATAAACATTAAAAAACTAATGTTTTCGTTTAAACATGTTTTTAATTACAGCGCATACGGGTCCATGTTCGTCGCGGTAAGGATCTTGTATGCCATGTCTCGTGATGGAATGATATTCAGAACATTCTCCAGGATAGACAGGTACACTTGGAAGCCAGCCATCCCAGCTATTATTTTCGGTTTAATTACAGGTATAGAAATCATTTAATAAAAAGATGAAATTTTGAATAATTGGGCCATTTTGATACTTCAGGCTAATTATTAAGGCTAATTTCAGTGGGTAGTGATGCATGGCCGTTCTTGGTTGGTGGACTGATTTGTCTGGTTAATTTCGATAACGAACGAGACTATGACATATTAAGGCTAATTAGAGCCTTATTACTTAAAAACAAATTTTCACTGAGGCTTCAAGTTAGTCTAAAAATGAATTATATAATAAAATAAAAATTGGTGTAGTCTACACATAGTATAACTTTTATTTTCCACCCTATTTACAGTATAAGAAGGTATTGTCATATATTAGTCCAGTCAATGAATTATTATAGAAAGAAATTGCGGAAAGATTTCTTTGTTATACGATTAAGTCATGGGCAAGAAAGTTTTTAATAATTAAATTTTCTTCAAGAATATATTTTATTTTACTAGTTTATTTCCAATGGTTCAAAAGTTAAATCAATTATAACTGTATATGTCAATTCCGAGAATTTGCAGAATAATTGAGTAAATTAAATATAATTTGGTTCAGAAACTATTTGTTTACTTTTCAACGGAAATGTAACCTAACAACATGGCGCCTAACTAGCGTTTCTTTCAAAATATATGTATACATCCACAACTAATCACACAACCATCCTTAATTTTTCATTGTTCACTTTATTATTGCTATAATAAACAAAATGACATTTAATAGTGACACAAAAGAAATTTTGGAAATTCTACAGGGGTCTAAAGTTAATTTGGATTTTGAAAATTCAGTAGTTATAGATTATGAAAGCATTGGGTAGATCCAAGTAGCCGATAAACCAATTCAAATAAATGGAACAGCTGACGTCGAAGTATCAGGAATTCAATCGATCTTAAATCAATTACTAGCCGGCTTCAATTAATTAACAAATATAACAAATGAAAAAACAAATGAAATGAAAAATAAAAATAAATTAAAAAATATTTCGAAAATTTCAAATCGGAAAGTATAAAACAATGTGAAAAATCGGAACGAAATTTCGAGACATATAAAACGGAATTAATAAATAAAAACGGTAGTAAGAGCAAACAAAGGGAGGAAAGATTTGAAAATTTTACTGTTAATAATAACAAGAAGTATGATTCTGACATAATCAATTAAAAACGAAATATGAATAAAGAGATAGTATGCGTGGAAAATAATTCATCTACAAAATTAGATAAAAAATAAAAGGCATTAATAAATCAAATAAATGTATGTTAAGCAAAAATAATGGTAAATTAAACGACAAAGAGGGGAATGATAAAGAGAAGGAATACAGCTAGGCGCAAATACCGTCAAACCAGTTTGCCTGTTGACTATGCATCTTTCACAGAACTTCGCAATAGAACACAATCCAACTACTTCCACGATGCCCTTTCTAATGCTCCCGATTCCAAATCAAAATGGAAAATATAGGAACGCCTTGTCCAGAATCAACTTTCCAACTTCCTAGAAGAATGTTCCCTCATCAATCCATTCCAATCTGGCTTTCAACCGGGCAATTCAATGCAATCTGACCTTCTTAAAATAACCCATGACCTCCAAAACTCCATTGAACACCAAAACCTTACTATCGGTATATCCTTCTAGATTGTTCCAAAGCGTTTGATACTGTTGACCATAACATCGTTCTCATTAAATTGCAAAATCTTCCTCTATTCAACTGTGTCCTGCGTTGGTTCAAATCCTTCCTTTCTGATCGATCCCAGTACGTAGTCGTCCCAGATCAACCTCCTTCTAAGACACTTCCCTTCCCCGTGGTGTCTCTCAGGGTTCCTCCGTATGTCCTACTCTGTTTGTTATTTACATTGCTGACCTCCCCTCCTGATCTATCACATCCAATATCACATCCATGCACACGATTTCCAAATATACATGTATTTTTCCCCTTCTGACCTATTAGCCGCCACAAAAAAGCTTCAAGAATACTTAAATAGAATATGTGAATGGACAGGAGCTAACAAGCTGAAGTTAAATGAAGACAATTCTAATAGGCTCCAATCACCTTCTTAAACTGTTCCTAACATTCCAATCCTGTTCCTACACGATAATCCCATCAAATTTTATCCTACCCTAAGAATAATCTTTGATAAAACCCTTTCCTGGAAAAAACATGTATCCGCCGTACCATTTTTATCATAAAACATTTAAATAGCCTCAGTCACTTTTTTGCTTTTGAAACGCGTAGATTCCTGGTCACCTCGTTAATATTTCTCCACTCGTGACTATTGCTGCACGGTATGTGGAGGCCTCTCTGGAGATCTCGAGGCGAAACTAAAATGTTTGATATATTCCTTTGTACGATTTATCTTCGAGATCCCAAAGGGGCGCCCCTGTTTCCTGTTTTTATAAAGAGTTGAAGTGGCTTTATCCTTCCTACCGTCGCACGTATTTTCTGCCATCCTTTCTCTTCCTAGTCATTCACTCCTGCCATCCTTCAAACATCTCCGAGTACCTTCAATTTAAATCCTCTGTTCACTCCCGCAGTACCCGCTCTATGTCTTCAGTTCTATATTATATGGCACACTGAACCACTGCTTTCGATAAATGTTTTATTATTCGATCCTCATCCCTATGGAACTCCATCTCTCCTGACATCCGTCGCTCTCCAATACTCTCCCTACATTGAAATCCGGCTTATTCAATCACTTCTTTTCCATCCAGTCCCTATAAAATTGTAAATAGAAATTTCTGTAAATATGTATATATATTATCATTTCATTTCGTTTCTTCCATTTTTTTATTATTAATCAATTTAAATTAAAAAATAACTTTTTTTTCTATTGTATCTTTTAGTTTATTTTGTAAATACATGTATATATATATATATATATATATATATATATAAGATAAAGACCGGAGACTGGCGATATCAGCCTTAATACCATCTTGTAATGTAAATAAACATAACAATTGTATATAAGGCAGATTATTGAACGAATAAAGGGGTGTTTATTCAGAAGCCGTGAGTATTGTTTCTCGTTCCTTTTTCCTTCTTTTTTTTTATTTGCAAAGCCCGGCGACGCTTAACTGGTGCCGAAACCCGGGAGAACGTCAGGAGAACACGGAAGTAAAATTTTTCTCTTTCTTTCTTTCTTTTAATTTTTTTTTCTCTTCTCCTAGTCATAAGGAAAAGACGAGATGCCGACAGAGGGCTTAATTCGACCAGGAGTGTTGAACGCACCTGAAATGCCGCAACCTCAGGAAATGCCGATAGCGCAGATTCCTCAGATCGCCCCTCAGGTTCCGCAGATTCCTCAGATACCTCAGATACCCAAGTACCGCAGATACAAGAGATCCCTCCCTTACCTAGGGACACATTGGCAGAGGCGCACGCCAATGCATTGGAGTGGATGAAGATAAGGGCAGCGACCACGCAGGATCTACGGAGAGCAATCGCAGACCTGGAGCGATTCGGGGGCGAGATAGGTGAACTTAATCACTTCTTGAAAGGTGGAGACCGCCTCATATCAAGAATCGAAGCAAAGGTGGCGGAGGACCTTGTGAACCTGGGAGACGCGGAGGCACTGAAGGCAGCTCTCGTGTGCCGAGTGAGGAGGAACATCCTCAACCAAATCCAAGCGGACGAGGAGACACCATGGCCAGTGATTAAGGAGCGTTTGAAGAAGGCTTTCGGAGGGGGCCGATGGACGCCGGAAGAAGATATCTTCCAAATGTTTAGGGAGTGTCGGTCCCAACGCCAAACAAGAGGACAGTATGCGGGGGTACTAGTGGCAAAGTACAACCGCATAACTGAGAAAATGCGTGAAACCATGAGTGTGGGAGAGGTCGAAGCTAGGATGGAATTCCTTTCGACAATACTCAAGGTTCAGTTGGCTAAGGAGACTGGGAGAAGGGACGGACTGCCTAGAGAGCGATCGTTCCTCGAGTGTGCCCAAGAAATGATAGATCTGAGTGCAAGAGAGGAAGAGACTCGGATGGAAGTAGAGGAACCAGGGTGGACCCGAGTGAGTGACAGACGACCCCGGACAGCCCAGATAGGGTGGAGGAAGAGGGAAATGAAACACCCGAACGGAGAAAAAGCCACGACGGGCGAGAGAAGATCCGGACAGTCCAGGCCTAGGAATGGACCCCGGAGGGAAGACAGAAAATGTCACGGGTGCGGGAAACCGGGACATTTGGTAGCACAATGTCCGCGCACTAGATGTTTCGAGTGCGGGACTGAAGGGCATATTGCCAGACAGTGCCCGTACATGTTTCGCAGGAGAGAGAGACCTCTAGACGAGCCAATGGAGGTGAACGCTCAAAAGTTGAAAAAACGAGCTAGGATGCAGCAGAGAGACGGATCTTCGGAAGAGGCAACCGAGGAGTCGGGGACGTCGGGAACGGAGACTGACGAGCCAGCCAGCAGTGGAGGCGAAGGAGGCAGGAGCAGCCAACGGAGCGAGCAACGACGAGCGACGGCGGTAAGGAGGAAGCGAGGCGGCATCTGAGAAGGGTGTCAGCAGAGAGGCGACCGCACAGCAACCTGCAACAATATTAGAGGTAAGCCATGCTGGTTGCCGATTATTGAAGTAGACGGGGGAGTGAAGTGTCTCGTGGACACAGGGAGCTCGAGTACTATCTTGACTCGGGGGGCGTTGGGGAGAGTGTGCGGGAGCGAGAGGGTACTCCGGATACAAAACTGTGGCTGCCAGCTAATCACTCTGGGTGGTCCCTGTAAAGTAGAAGGGGAAGCGTCAATTACGCTTGATCGGTGGGCAGGGAAAAAGGGGGAGCTAAAGGTGCATGTGGTAGAGAGCATGACGCGGGAGTACCAAGTCATAATAGGGTGTGATCTGTTAGGACAGGTAGGGGTAAGCATTAGAAACCGTAGAGGAGCTTGGAGTATCAGGCTGGGAAAGAGGAAATTTGGATGTATAGGGGTCGCGAGAGAAAGAAGGGTGCGGATAGGAGCGGTGAACAGGGTGGAGGACTGGAGAAAGGCGTTACAAGCGGAGTTCG